TATATCTGTTAAGTAGAATGAAAGCTACTGAGAATCAGGAACCAACCCTGACTTATTGATTATGTCCCTCCAAATAACCCTGCACATAATGGTTCAGTGTTTATTGAATAAAAATGTTACATACTGTTTCACATCAAAAACAAGATTGTTTTGTTCTTGAAAACATGATCTTATATATCTTCACAGCAGGAAGTAGTCTATACATGCCTGTTGAATTGAACTATCAATGTCCTCATCACCAATAATCACACATCCTACTAAAGCATGTGCATGTATTCTTCAGGGCACCTTGCACGTAGCAGAGTCTCAAATATTTTGATTTTCTCTTCTCCAGTCCTACCAAATTATGAAAGGATCCCAGAATTACTCATACTTCACACCAACCTCTCCATTCTCACATCCAGCTCCTCTCCAGCCATCCTTGTGAAAACTCATTCCTGTCAAGATCCAAGACTCCCATATACATTTCCATGAGTCCCAGGATCATAATACATGTTCACATAGAGCCATCAATCCATTTCTCCAAAATCTACTCTTCACTTAACACATGCTTACTAATCTGGCTTCACTTCTGTTGAGCCTTCCAGAAGATGAAGTCCCAGCAAAGACATGAGATGTGACTGAGGTAGATCATCTGCAGATATGGCTGTGGACACTTCCTCACATCCCCATAATTGCATGCAGCTTCTCTGATCTAAAAAACAAGTACATTTCCACACAGCCTTGAATCTGGGCTGGGCTGTGATTTATTAAACTGGTAGAATGCAGCACAAGTGACACCAAGTCACTTCCTGGCCTATGTCTATCAAATCTTGAAGCTTCCACTTTTCCCTTTGGACTCAAGCCTCCATAAAAAGAAGTTTGGGCTAGCTAGACTACTGATTAATGATACCACGTAGTAAAAAAAAAAAAAACTCAGCCATTCTAACTAAGGCACTAGACACGTCAGTGAAGACATCTTGGACATTATAGTTCTAACCAAGCTCCCAGCAGAATGCTGGGATTGACCTTCAATCCACACCAAATAGTGCAGAACTGCCCCGCTGAGCCCAGATAAACCAGAGAATATGAATTAATAAATTGTTGTTTTCACTCCAACATTCACAGCAGCACTATTTACAACAGCCAAGACATGGAAACAACCCAAGTGCCCATCAACGACTGGCTTAAGAAGAAGTACGTGGTGGAATATTACTAAGCCATAAAAAAGAATGAAATAGTGCTGTCTGCAGAACATGGATCGACCTAGAGATTATCATACGACATGAAGTCAGACAGGGAAAGACAAATATATGATGTCACTTATACATGGAATCTAAAAAATAATACAAGTGAATCTATATACAAAACAGAAACAGACTCACAGACATAGAAAACAAACTTATGGTTACAAAAGAGGAAAGAGAGGGAGGAGAAGGATAAATTGGGAGTATGGGATTAACAGATACAACTACACATAAAATAGATAAGCTACAAAGATTTCCTATATAGCACAGGGAACTATACTCAACATCTTGTAATAACCTATAATGGAGAAGAATCTGAAAAAATACATTAACTGAACAACATTGCTACATACCTGAAAAAAATACAATATTGTAAATCAACTATACTTCAATTAAAAAAATAATAAATTGTTTTCAGTCACTAAGTTTGGGGGTGGATTATTATTTAACAATAGATAATTGAAATAGGTACTAACTTTAAAGGACTGGGATCAAATAAAAGACCTAATCACCATAATTCCTTAATCTTCAAATCCCAATTTGTGTCTATAAGTAATTTTCTTTAGTTTGCAACGCTACTCTTATAAATGAAAAGTTTGAATAACTTAAAAAACATATTTCCATTCAATTTCTTCAGTTTTTTTTTTTTTTTTTGCTGTTTTTTTTCTTTATGGAGGTACTAAGGATTGAACCCAGGACCTCCTTTACCACCGAGCTATACCAACCCCCTCTTCAGGTTTTTCCTAATTCTTGGCACCTATACACTCCAGAGGAGTGTCATTACCATCTGCACTAGCCAAACTCTGTATTAAATATTTTACACACATAATTTAATTTATTCCTCACACAACCCTAAGACGAAGATGTTGTATTATTCCTACTTGACAGGCTGGAAAAAAAAAAACTAAGGCTCATAGACATTAGCTACTTTGCCTAGGGTCATATAAACAGAGTGGTAGAGCTTGGGTTTAAGTCTAGACCTGACTCCAAAGGCCATGTTTTTAATCTATAATCTATACCATAGTAGAGACTTATTCACATCAACCTAATAAACCATCCTAAGAAACACAAATAGCACTTTAAAGCCACATAAAAGATTTCTTTAAAAGCAGTATATCAAATATTTTCCTTATTTCATTCTGCAAATATTTATTGAGAGCCTCATATATACTAGGCACTGGAGACATACTAAACATAACCCCAATCACAACACAATTCTAGAAATTGTAGCTACATTTTTCTCCTCTTGATTGAGTAATGTCAACCTTATTTAACTTGATTCATGGCCAGTGAAATTGTTAAAAGACAAAAAGGCAGAGAGTGCCATATATGCTTCATTATAGGTAGACCTACCCAGCCATCTCCCAACACATTGTGTCCTCTCACCATGCACCACTGATCACTATTCTCTTCCCCACTTGAAACATTGTACTTGTTTCTCTGCTTACTGAAATCCAACCTCTTCTATGAAGCCTCTCCTGATTAGGCCAAATACATTCTCCTGTCTAGGTTATTTATCCTCCAGTCCACATTAGTGGTTTCCAAACACAGCTACTTAAAATCATCTGGCTTTTAAAATTAGAATTACCAAAAATTAGAGAAGTTATACTTTGAAAAAGCAAAAGCCTGAAAACAATCTAAAAGTCTATCAAAATGAAACCCATTAAATCATTACAGTACATAATGTGAGAATATAAAACAATACCTACATTCTGTCAAATTGAAAATGCACCATGCACCATGAATAGTGTGTATGAAATCCTACTTTTAAAAAAAGAGATAGACAAATAGGAAGGCTTATACATACACAGTACATGTTTAGAATTACAAAGAATCTCTTAAGAGTGGTTGCCTCCAAGAAGAAGCATAAAAAAACAAACTGTGAGAATACTTTTCATCTGCTTACTCTTTTGTAATTTTAAAATTTGCATTGTATGTCTGTATGTATGGATATATTCTTTGTAATTATTAGGGAAAAAATCCCACATAGATGCACAAGACTCAGTTCAGCTCTACAGCTGTCAAATCTCTGGGGGCCAGGGACCAGCTTTTGAAACTGTTAAACTACCCAGAGATTCTGATGATCAGTTAGGCTTAGGACTCATTCACGCCAACCACCCATATGGTACTTAATGCTTCATATTAAAGTGTACATGTGAGAATATAACTTTATACCCCTGACTATAAAAGCATGGGGGAGGATACATTATACTTTGTTCTTCCTACAGTTCTCAGCTCAGAAAAGATAGCCAATAAATATTTTTTGATAAGAACAGTGCAAAAGTATAATTCCATTTTTCTATTACATTTCACTCCAGTGTGGAAGGGTTTTTCAAAATACATTTAACATGATGGCACAATGGGGCAATTTAAAGTTATCACTTTCAATACATGAAGGGCCAAATGTCAAAAGGTGCCAAAAATAATTTTTATTTCTTAAACACCACAGGCATGGTTAGACTCAAAGGGCAAGTGGTGAGTCCAAATCTAAGGCTATAAGACTTAGGGATGAGTTACACTTCCTAGTCCACATGAATAAGTAATATAGCATCCAGAGGAAAGTAAAACATGTGGATAACAGATTCCAAACAAGTCCCATTCCACAGTTCCCAGGTCTCTCTTCTACCGGTACTTCCCATGTCGGTTAAAGTGCTTGTAGAGATAGCTGATGCGTTTGTTAAGGTTGTGCAGGTCATCAATGAACATTCGATTTCCAACCATTCTCTTCTTTCGGATACAACGCTGCAATTCATTCCCCTTCCAGCCCCGAAGCCATCTAGGGCCCTTGATCAGTTCTTTAGGGTGTTTTTCAAAGTTTCCTGCGTAATGTGAGAGCACGTATTAGTACCAAAACGAGAGAACCCAGCCTCCATCAGCTAAGCCTTCAACACAGTTGAATCTCCCGGAGCAGCACCAATCGACAACGCACATTCAGCTACAGTATCAAGAATACAAACTCCGTAGCAAGCCTGCTTGGGGTTCAAATTCTGGCACTGATATTTGCTGGCTTTGGAAAAATTACTTAACCTTCCTGTGCCTCAGTTTCCTCACCTGTAAAGTGAAAAGGTTATGATTAAATGTGTCAGTACATGTAAGGCACACAGAACAGCGCTGAACACAATGTAAACAACCACGTGTTTGTTCTTACCACTGAATAAGGCACCGTTTCCACAGAGGTGAAAGAAAATAATCGTTACAGCATAACCGTTGTTCTGAAATTCTGCACCACGGAGTCGACTCTTACCTAGGATTCCGATGTTGTCATACACCCCGAACATGGCCCTCTTCTCGTTCCAACGATCAACCACTTTGGGTGGCGGGAGGGTGACCCTTACATGGAACAATCTAGGAACACCTAGGGATGGGGAAGAAAGGAAATTAATCTGAGCCGCTTACTGAAAAGCAGTTCTCGGGGCGTCTTTCTGTAACAGCCACTCACCCAAAGAGAAGCTTCTGCAGGCCAGAGGCACCCAGCCCCATAGGCCCCTGCCTGTCACCCAAGAGAGGCTCCCAGCCATTGTTCTCGTCTCTTCTCTACAACAGCCTCCGCACGGCACAGCAGTGAGGGCCAGACCTGACCTTCGAGAAGAAGACAGGTACCGTCACCGCTGTCCCCACTCCGGCACTAGGTGCGCGCAGCCATCTTGGGCTTTACCCAAGCAGCTCCGGGCGTAGGGCCCGCCTTGACCCCGCCCCCCAGGTTCCGGTGCAGCGCCGCCTTGACGCCCCGCCACGCCGAGGCGCTTCCGGTCGGCCCGCCGGAAGTTGGGGAGCGCCAGCAGAGCTGAGGGTCTCGTTTCGTTGTCTGAGGCGCCCCAGAACTGAATTTCAAGAAAATTCACCTTGTCCTGTTTCCTTGGGCGTCCCTCAACTGAGGGAGATGAAGGTCCAGAACCTGGAACCTAGAGCTTCCTTTCTTTGTGCCCCACAGCAGCTTTGCTCTGTAGCTGTTTTTATTACCCCTGGTCGACAGGGAAGGAAGTCTGAGGCTGAGAGAGTGCAGTGACCTGCTTGGACATCACATAGCAGAGGAGATGGCGGAACCCGGACCAGAGCCTAAGCCTTCTAACTACCGGCCTGAACTTGCCTCCTGTCCTGGGGGTGACTGAATGGGTCACTGTCCCAGGGGCACTGCCACTTCTCAGCTAGGAACCAGGCATCTCTGGCAGGCACCGCCAGGGCCTCTTCCCCCGCAACTGGGAAAAAGGAGGATCCTGTGAAGAAGGAGGCATCAGGGGACCAGGGGGCGGGGACGGTGGGGGAGCCGGAGTCTAGGCCCCGCCCTCCTTGGGCTTTCCGGCTCCTCCTCTGATTGGCGAGTCTGTGCAGCGAGCGTCGCCATTGGCCCTCTTGCAGCCGTTGGGATTTGAACTCCACATTTGTGACTTTGCCCGCCGGGCTACGGTCTCCGAGGCGGGTTTTTGCCTCCGCCTGACTGGCATTGGCTGGTTTCTCTGCCCGCCGGTGTGCTGCCTCTCTGATTGGTGCGTATTGTCCCCACGGTGGCTTTCCCTTAATTTCAGCTCCACAACCCGAGTTGGAGGAACGGCGGGTGAAGTTCTCCCGTAAGGTGTGGTGGTCAGGGGGAGCGGGGAAGGAGAGGCCGGGAAAATTGGGTACCGGGCAGTATGACGCGGGTTTTAGCCTGGGAGGTCTAGCGGTCCTTGCGGTACGTCGTGGTAGAAACATTCTCACAGATCCGCAAGGGAATTGGGGCAAATCGCTTAACCTTTCTTAGCCTCAATTTCCTCATCTGCAGATTGAGCTGTATTATTATGCACTCGCATGAGACTGGCGTTTGGAGGATTAGATCAGATACGACACATTCTTATAGCCTAACAGAACGTGGCACGGAGTAAACAAATAACAGTTAATGCTCTTACGTTCTGGAGCCAGGAAGTCCATTATCCCATCCTGGGCCACTGTTCTGGGCTCAAATGACACATTCTCCCTATACTTAAGAAGCTTTGCCCGTTAAAACAGGATTAATAATGCTACCTTAACGCATCGATATGCCACTTTACAATTATTTAAACACTTTCATACCCCTTGGCTCATTTCATCCTCAGGGCAACTTTGTAATCAGAGATCAGTAACCTTGTTTTACAGATGAGGCACAGGGAACTAAGTGACATGACCAACTTGTATCAGAGTCACAACTGGAATTAGTTTCTAGCCCAGGGTTTATCTCACACCCTCTAAGATAATGTTATTAGCTTGATGTAAGACTGAAAAGCATTATATATTGGAGGAAAGGAATAATAGAACCAGACAAAAAGACAACCCTTAGATGTAGACCCTGACTTACTTACTGTTTGGCTTCCAGCCCTGTGAGCCTGTGGAGAAAGATGTCTCCTCGGCCGTATGAGTTCCATCTGCCCTTATCTCCAGAAGAATTGTTGAAAAGTGGAGGGGTGAATCAGTATGTCGTGCAAGAGGTACTGTCCATCAGACATCTCCCATCGCACCTTAGAGGTAAGACTCCCCTAGCTGCCACTGTGCCTGGCACTTCAGAACAGCCTTCCCACGTGGAGTTACGTCTTCTGTGTGTTCCGTTACACCACTGAGCTCCATGAGAGCAAGGATCGTGTCTTTCCTGTCCTTGCTGTTTTCTCCCTGGTGTTGCATTGCATGAAGAGTATATTCATTGATCGCCTTCTCTAGATTACTTAGTAAACACTCTTGGTGTATATGTTACTCTGGGGAAAATTTTATTTTAGATCTTTACTTCTTACCGTAGGCCAAAATGAAGTCCTGGTGGTTTTAAGAGTTGTGGGAGAAGATAGCTTTCTCAGAATGTATGGGACTTGACCTGTTTCAGGTAATACTTTTTTAGAGTCTAGAGCTTGTTTCCAAGAGTTGCAATAATGGAAAAATTGTATTATATACATAGAGTTGCAACAGTGTATAATATATACACAGTGCTGTTGAAACCTATAGATAATGAAGAACAAGTCAGGCATTATCAAGATGACCCCATTCATAATGTCACTGTACTTATTGGAAGTGTCTTGTATCAGTTAGGTTGCTTTGGAGAGTTACAGAGTAGAGATTAAAAAACTATGGAGTCGGGCTGCCCGGATTTGAATCCTGGCTCCAACACTCTGACCTCACACAGTTACTTATTCTCTCTGTGCCTTGGTTTCCTCATCTGTAAAGACAGGGGTAATAACCTACTTTATCTCCTAAAACAAGTAGGGTTGATTAATTATCAAGCAGTGTGATGATGTAACTCCAGCTTGTCTCCTCTGCCAGATGACAGCTCCTTGTTCTGATGCACAGAGGTAGAAAAAGGGATTTTCTTCCTTGTGCTTTTTCTTCTTGTTTTAAAACTATCAGAAGCCTCCCAACAGACTTAGCCAGGATTGGATCATGTGCCTATTTCCCTAAATAATTACTAGTAAGGGAAATGGAATTGCCCAGATTGGATATATTGATCAAGATTGTTACCTAGGAGCATGCCTAAACCTGAACATACCACCATTCGGTAAGCAAGGAAGAGGGCAAGGAGTGGAGGGTGACTGATGGGTGACCAACTGACAGTGTCCACAGACTGCTCTTTCCCTACTGCGTGGATCTGTGCAGCGTCAGTGGCACGACCTGTACCCTATAGCAAACTGTTCTTCAGTTATCATTATGAATTACTCTTTTAAATGGATGATCACGCTCTTTAAGAGTCCTTTTCGTAACAACTGCATTGCTTTTGGTATTTAGAACCCTACATACAAGCTCTACTACAAATATACAAGATCAGATTGTTTAATTTGTTCAGGTACTTGCTGATGAGATGCTATGTGCCAGGCACTGTTCTAGGCACTGAGGATACAAGAGTAAATAAAACAGATAAGATGACAAAGTTCTTTCTCTCAAGGCTTTCAACAAGTAATAAATAAATATGGAGTGTGTCAGATGGATTTAAGTGCCAAGGAGAAAAATAAAGCAAGATAAAAAAATCATGGTGTGCCAGGATATGCCTGGCATTTTATGTTGGATAATCAGAAGGCTTGCTGATGGTGACATTTGAGCAGAGACCTTGAAAGTGAGGAAGTAGACTCTGCAGGTTCTCAGGAAGGGCGTTCCAAGCAGACAGAAGAGCCAGTGCTGGAGCTCTGAGGAGGGCAAATGTCAATGTGGTAGGAGCGGAGCAAGCTAGGAGAGAAGAGGTCAGTCGTGAAGTGATGCAGAGTATTCCAGGGTCTTGCTCCTCAGAGTGCGGTCTTCAGACCAGCAGTGTTAGTGTCATGATTTAGGAGCCTGTGAGAAACGCAGGATGAAGGCTCATCCCCAAACTACTGAATCAGAAAGTCCACTTTTTAAGAACATCCCCAAGGCACTCAGATGTGTTTAAGTTTGAGAAGCACTGATCTAGGAAGTTGTAGGTCATGGTAAAGACTTCAGCTTCAGAGAGGGTGTGCTTGAACGCCATTGGGTTTTGAGTGCAGGAGTGACATGGTCTGACATTTCAAAAGTATCACTATCTACTGTGTTGAGCCGAGACTGTAAGGGGCAAGGCAAGAAGCAGGGGACTAACTAAGAGGTTAATGAACTGATACCAGGTCACTTGCCTGGGTAATAGTGGTGGAGATGATTAAGTCAGGTTCTGAGTAAATTTTGAAAGTAGAGCCATCAGGATTGTTGATGGATTGGATTGGATTTACAGAGTTAGAGAAAGAAGAATCTGGGATGATTACAAGGCTTTTTGACTTCAGCAACTAGAAAAGTGGGTTGTCATTTACTGAGGTGGGGTTGAGTGAGAGGAGCAGATTTGGACTGTGGGTTATGTGATTGTGGAGTTCAGGGGGAGGTGCCAGCTAATGACACACATTTGGGATTTAGTCTTCAGCACACAGAAGATGTTTAAATGAGATTGGAGTGAGTATAGATGAAGAAGAAAAGCAATGTGAAGACATAAGACCTAAAATAGTTCAACATTTAGAAGCTGGGAAGGTGAGAAAGAACCAGTAGAAGAAACTAAGGACGAGTCATTGAGGCAGAAAGTGAACAAAGGGGCTAAATGGAAGCTAAATTAAGAGAACATTTCAAAAAAGAGAGATCAGCTGCACATTTAATTGCAGAACTTAGCAATGTGGCAATTGCTAGTAACCTTAATGAACACTGTCTCAGAGTGGTGGGGTCAGACGCCTGATTGGAATAGGTTTATCAGACAATGGAAGGAGAGGGGTTAGAGATGGTGAGTTTAGGTAACTCTTCCTGGTTGCTTTGCTTTAAGGAGTAGCAGATAAATGGGGTGGTAGCTAGAGGCAGAAGTAGAGTCAAGGGAGGACTTTTCTTTTTTATAAAATGGACAACATTACATGTGTATATACTGAATGGGAATAATCAGAGAGAGGGGAAATCTGGTGATGCTGGAGGGACAGGGAACAACTGTTGGAGCAGTATCCTTTAGGGGGTAAGAGAGCATGTGATCTGGCGCTTGGGGGGTGGGGAGATGGTTCTATTAGAGCACGGACAGTTCATCCTCAGTAGCAAAAGATCAGGCAGAGTATATGGGGGCAGGGGCAGGTAATGCCATTACATACAGAGCTTGAGCAGTTAGAGGTTCTTTTCTTTCTGATTCTGTTTTCTCAGTAAGATAGAAAGTGAAGCCTTTAACTGAGGGTGAGTTGGGGAAGAAAGGTCTTGATGTTATGAGGCAAGAAAAGGTGTGAGATAACTGCCCAGAAGAAAACAAATAGGCCTGGGAACTCATAATAGGCTTACTAAGAAATACTGAGGGTGCACTTGAGGTCATAAGTTTAAGGGGAGAATAGTCAGCATGGTTGTGTGTTTTTTCAAGCCATTTTTATTTGTGTGGTTACGTGAATGCAGTGAGCAGTCAGTTGGATTTAATCCAGATTTACTGGGGGAGTAAATGTGTTACTAATTAGTGGGAAAAATTAGAAACATAATGTCAACAATAGGGGAATAGTAAGTTAAGTTACATTCAATGGAATGTTACGCACCATTAAAAACTATCACAAAGGTTTTTAGTATCTTTATTGTAATATTAAGTTTTAAAAAGCGTAACAGGGAGGTGAACATGTGATATGACCTTAGCAATAGAAATAGTATGCAAAGAAAATAAACTGGAAAAAATTAGCCAAATGTTAACAGTGCTTGTTTCTTTCTCATTTTCACTTTTCTGTATTTTCTAGATTGCAGAAGGAAGTTTGTAAGAGTGGGAAGTAGACTGCACATGCTCAGTTACATTGTGTGCTAAGTATTGTCCTGACTGCTTCACATAGATCATCTCACTTAATCTTTACGAAAAATTCTAAAAAGCCCTGTGGGGTATGATCTGTTATTATTCCCAGTTTACCGAAGGGGAAACTTGTGACTTGGTAAGCTGAGTAGCTTAGCCTAGTAAATCTTCAAGCCAAATGTAACCTAAACAGTGTGATTAGACTAGATCAGTGGCTAATGCCTCAGAGAAGTAAAAAAGGATGTGAACGGACAGAATCGCTGGATGCAATAAAAAATAGGTAATGGGTGATCTTTGAGAGAATAGCTGTTGGATTGGGAAATCTCAGAAACTAGGCTTCAGGGAGTTGAGAAAGATTAGACAAAATTTTAAAGGGATATGGGAGCAAAGTCAAATGAAAGGCATTGAGCGTTTTTGTTTTGTTTTAAAAGGAGAGGGGCCTGAGTATGTTGGCAGGAAAAGAGCATTCCCTGGAAAGGATAAAACCAGAGGTGGAAGAGAGGAGATAAGTCTTTGGGGGCAGTGAGACAGGTTAGCTTTAGAAGAGAAGATCTTTTCACTTGAGACTGAGGCAAAGAATGGGAAGATGGTGGCAGAATGATTTGTTGGTGGGGAGGTGGGATTGCATGAGGGAGCCCATGCTTTGGGTCTCATTCTTTTTAGTAAAGTAGAAAGCAATCATCTACTAAAGGAAGAGAGGCAAAGGGTAAGGAAAAGTATAAAGAAGGGGCAGAACATGCTATGAGTATAGCGCTCAGGAGTCAGTAGGAACTGGAGGAATAAAACAGCTTGCTAAACGTCACAAAGGACCAGGTTGTAGCTGAGCAACATGACACTATAACACGATGAGTCAGGTCAGTGCCAGCGGTGTTAACGGAGTTTGAGGTTCTAGCTTTACTTGGCAGGCAAACCAGCTCAGTCTTGCAGAAAAGAATTTGGTGGAATTCTTTCCCTCTGCACCCACAACTTGGTTCAAAAATTATCTGACTCCATGCTGCCTTGCTACTCTTGCATTCTTCTAAGGCATAATTAGATGCTGCTCCCCTTTATACTGAAATTTTTGTCTAGAAGCAGTACCATCAGGATGAAAAGAGCACTGAGTTTGAGAATCAAAAAATGCTGGGTTTTCAAAATGTAATACAAGTACAGACGTCCCCCTACTGGATGGTTCAACTTAATGATTTTTCAACTTTACAGATGGTGCTAAAGTGATACACATTCGGTAGAAACCATACGTGGAGTGTTGAATTTTGATCTCTTCCTGGGCTTGCGACGTGCAGTGGGTGCCCTCGTGGTGCTGGGCGGTGGCAGCGAGCACAGCCCCCAGGCTGCCACACAACCACGAGGGCAAACACCTGACCCACTCAGCATCTGTGCCCAGACAGCCGTTCTGGGTTTCACTTTCAGTGCAGGCTTCAATAAATTATGAGAAATATTCAACACTTTATTATAAAATAGGCTTTGTGTTCGAGGATTTTGCCCAACTGTAGGCTAATGAGCATGTTTAAGGTAGGCGAGGCTAAACTGTGATGTTCGGTAGGTTAGGTGTATTAAATGCATTTTTGACTCAGTGTTTACAGTGAGTTTTTTGAGACATAACCCCATGGTAAATCAAGGAAGATCTGTGGTAACAAATTAACCCAAGTGTATTACAAATGTCTGACGTAATCACACTAAAGAAGAAAATAACTAACCTAAGTAACTATGCAGCACAGTATTTTGAATGTATACTGTATACAAAGAACTTTACACAATTAGCAAATGGTAGTTAGTAAGTTTATTTTTTGTTTTGTTTTGGGTTTTTTGGGGAGGGGTAAGTAATTAGGTTTATTTATTTATTTAAATGGAGATACTGGGGATTGAATCCAGGACCTTGTGCATGTTAAACAGGCACTCTACCACTGAGCTGTATACCCTTCCCTCTAGTAAATTTGTTGTTAAAGGTGTGTGAGTTAGCAATTCTGAAACTGCCTTATGTGTGTACTAGGATTAAGCAAATATATATATGAACTTATATTTTTAATATATACACAGATAAAAAGTTATGGGTGTGTGTGTGTGTGTGTGCCTACGTGTATGTATATCTTGCTTTTCCCTCCTGACAGGGTCTTAAACCTCCAATGACAGTGATCTTAACTAGTCCCTGGAACTTGGTTTCTACATACCATTCTCCCATAAAAGAAACTAGGACTCCATTGAGAATGGTTGATTCCAGGACTGAGCCAGGGAATGTACAAGATGAGCCTGGAACATCTTGTGGTCCAAGAAAGTAAGAGAGCAAAAGTGAGGGGAGCATGTCAGAGACATAGGCCAAGCTGAAGGTGCTCCCAGTGGTCAAGTGTAGGACAATCTGAGCAACAAAATAAGCACTAATAGGAATGGATTAAAACACAGAATAAGAGAAACTTTCTTGAATCCATTCTGATATAAACAAATAATTGAACAGATAAATGAAAGTGACAGCTCATTTTTATAGGGCATTCCCATTAGAAAGTGTGGAAGGAATGATGGAGTTAGAAAAATCACCTTTAGTAAACTCCACAGTAGTAATTGTGGCAGGAAGGAATCATCCATAGATGCCTAGAGCTGGAACCTGGTGAGAAACAGGATATTTACATAGTTTCAAAGTATCTCCCCACGAGATACTTAGTAGTTGCAAAGGGGAAGATAGTAACTTTGCAGTGGAGACCCCTGGCCAGCACTACCAGTTGATCAAAGTTAAGGTGGCCAGTAATAAGACATTGACATTGTGTACTTCTTGGTATGATGCGTCAGAAGAGCCCAACCTCCATTCCTCGGTGATCTAACTGAAAGTATATGACCTCAGTCTAATCAGGAGAGAATATCAGACAAACCTGAAGGAGGAAGATTGTACAGAGTAAACTGGCAAGGACACTTCAAGAGTCAAGATCATGAAAGACAAAGACTAGAACAGACTAGGGAGGTATGACAAGTAAATGCATCGTGGCGTCTTAGATTGGCTCCCAGACTGGAGAAAGGGCATACATAGAACAGTGGCAAAATTCACATAAGGCCTGTAGATTGGTTAATAACATTGAATCAATGTTCATTTCTTGGTTGAGAATAGATCCTTATATAACTGTGGTTATATAAGATGTTAACATTATCTGGGTGAATAGTACAGGAACTCTGTTTTTGCCACTTTTGTAATTTAAAAATTAAAAGAAAAAAAAAGATCCTGAGTTTGTGTTCACTACTAAGTTGGACAAGTCACATAGCTACTCTGACATTTAATTTCTTTTCCCATAAAATAGGCATGATACTGTCTGCTTTATCTAGCTCAGAGATGTGGTAAAACGCCAGTAAGGCTTTAATTGTAGAACAGGACAAAGTTGTAAGGTGCGATTATAATTGGTTACATTGAAATGAACGGTCTCCTTTTGTGATTCTACCAGTAAAACCAATTAATTCGATTTTGTGTCATGAATAGAATTTACTGAAAAGGCCACTCCTCTCTGTGTTGATTAATTTCTTTCATCTTTTATAGCATTTCAGGCTGCCTTTCGAGCTCAGGGGCCACTGGCAGTGCTGGAGCATTTTGATACCATCTACAGCATTCTACAGTAAGTGAAGTGCCCCTCTGGTACTTAAAAAAGGACTGGTGACTATTTGCCCTAACTTTGCATGTTAGTCCTGAAGCTCCGAATTATAGCTCACTGATAAATGGTTCTGGGTGCTGATATTTCTACTAATGAGCGTTTACCCCAACTTGCCACCGTATTGATTCAGTTGAGCAGTTTCACATGTATTTTTAAGCATTAGGTTCCCAGGTTCGGTCTGATCTGTTAGGATGGGCTCTACGGGTTCCTGTCTCACTCCCGCACTTTCTTTCCCTCATAGTCACTTTCGAAGTATAGACCCTGGCCTCAAGGAAGATACTCTGGAATTCCTGATAAAAGGTGTTTATGGGTCCGGGGGTAGGGGATGGAAGGTGTTTCTGTTTGTTTGCTTGTTTATCGTTCCCTACATTTTATCAGCCAGATGATGATATCAAGGCTGTGGTGATTCAGTTGGTTTGGCTGAGCCTGGGGACCTCTGACCTATTAAGGTCTGTAATCTTGGTGGGCACTACAGAGTTATGTGTGTTCACTGTAAGGGCAGACCAACAATAAATTCTTCCTACCCTCCAACTGCCTTTTCAATAGAGGCAGTTTCTTCCGGTTGCCAGAGAAGCTGGGGTAACTGGAGTGGGAGAGTAGGGATAGGACACATTCAGGATGTCAGGGTCGGGGGTCCCAAAGGGCTTAGCTTGTGTTGTGGCCACTGAGAGATGAAACACAGATCTTTGGTAATCTGATGGCTGGAAATGCTGGGTATTTTGAAGTTGGGGTGTACGAGGAAAGTGAATGAAACTGACCCCAGATTCTGCGTCTTGAAGTGGTATCCCGCCACTCCCAGGAACTTCCCACTGTCTTGGATGATGCAGCTCTGAGCGCATCAGACAGAAGCGCCCACCTAAATGCCCTCAAGATGAACTGCTATGCTCTGGTGCGCCTCTTGGAATCCTTTGAGACCATGACCAGCCAGACAAGTCTCATGGACCTGGACCTTAATGGGAAGGTAATTTGGAGTTCCTGGCTCATTTAATATAGGGTCTGGGGAGATACAGGAATTGGTGGGAAAGAAGGGAATTCAATGATTCTGAGAATCCTTTCTGTCCTTGTGTAAGGTTTATGAGGAGGCACTCAGCAGTATCACAATATACCCTCCACTGACTAGCAGCTTTTATATTTTGGAATCTATAATGCTTCTGTCTTACCTTGTCTTGACACTGGATAGTTTGAGCACTCAGGCTAGTAGATTGTGACCCTCTTTGCATGCTTATTTTTTCCTAAAAGTATCCTTTTTTAGGGTAGGAAAGCCCGGGCCAAGGCAGCCCATGGCTTTGATTGGGAAGAAGAGAGGCAACCAATTCTTCAGCTTTTAACACAGCTCCTCCACTTGGACATCCGTCACCTGTGGAACCACTCAATAATTGAAGAGGAGTTTGTCAGGTGGGTAGTTATGATTGCTACCGGTGATACCCAGCTGTGAGGAATGCGGCTTCTGTTGCTAGATATGCTTTTTGAATACATTGTTTCATGGCTAAGTTCTGTCTATGATGCATAGAAATATGCCCATGACATTGAGTTGTTAGGAAGCAGGTAAAGGAGGTTAGAAACTTATGTGAATTTCTCACCTTTAATGCCCGTTTATTCATTTATGAAACAGTATTTACTGAGAATCTCCTAGGTGCATGGCTGGTATTATTATAGACACTGAAAACCAGCATTTCTGCCCTCATATAGTTTATATTACAGAGCAGAAAACAGTTTTTTAAATAAGTAAACTGTACGTTTTATGGTTTATTACTGTGGAGAAAAGTAGTGGTGAGGATGGGAAGTTTGATGCAAGAGGGTTGTGATTTTAAATCAGCCATTCTAGCAAGATCTCCTCAAGATGGTGACATTTGAGCAAAGCCCCAGAGACATTTGAGAGCCCTGAGGATATCTGGAGGAAGAGCAAGGGCAAGGAAAGGAAACAGCAAGTACAAAGGAGGGCAGGTGTCCAGCACACAAGTAATAGCACTGAGGCCAGGGCCGACAGCTGAGCCGGGGAGGGATTGGCTGTGAGGCAGGGGGCAGTGAGGAGCCAACTGCAAGTACTTGTAGGCATCACGGTGACTTTAGTGTTTTCTCAAAGTGAGATAGGTTCACTCGGGGTTCCGAGCAGGGCAGTTAGGTGGTCTGACTTTCCTTTAACAGAGTCATCCTGGCTATTGTGTTGAAACAGACTATGGAGAGAAGGGGAGAAAGCAGGGGACCAGTTAGGAGGCTGTTGTGGTGACTTGGATGAGAGGTGACAGTAGCTTAGACCCAAGAGGACAGTGGAGACGGGGAGAAGTGGATGCAGTCTGTACTTTTTCTCCTTAAGGCAGAACCTACAGGATGAGCTGACAGATAGATGTGTGTGGGGTTTAAGGCAGGGTGCAGTTGAGGATGACTCGCCCAGGGTTTTGCCCAAGCAAAGAGTTGCCAGTAACTGAAATGTGGGGGAGGCTGTTGGGGATGTCTGAGGAGACAGTTGAAGTTCTGCTTTGGACATAGAAAGTTGGAGGTATCTACTAGACGTCCAGGGAACGTCGGATTCAGGTGTGGAACGTGTACAAAGCTGAAGTACAGGAGAGAGGTCTGAGCTAGAGGTGCACATTTGGGAATAGAATGTATTTATGTAAGTTGTATTTGTAGCCATGAGACTGAATGGGATTAGTAACTCTGTAAGCGTAGCTGGAAGAGAGCAGAAATGCAGGGACTGTCCCCGGGGGCACTCCAGCATCAGGAGGGTGAGATGAGGGTGCCAAACTAGCTGAAGAAACTGAGAAGGGAATTGGGCCTCCTGGAAGCATGTTTCAGGGAGAAAGCAGTGGACCAGCTGTGTCAGATGCAGCTGAAGGTGGGAGGGTATAGCTCAATAACAGAGTGTGTGCCTAGCATGGACGAGGTTCTGGATTCAGTCCCTAGCCCCTCCACTGAAATAAACAAACTAGTTAACCCCCCTTCAAAAAAGAACAGGTGCGGATGAAAGGTCAATTAAAGTGAGGAAGTGAGTTGGCCATTTGACAATGAGAAGTCGCCAGCGGCTTTGTCCTACCTTTTGTCATATATTCAGGTTTGTGTAGGCGTCACAACTGGTTGAAAGTTGGTCATCTGGAAGGTCAGGGTGCCTCTCTGGGGGCTCAGCAGAGCAAAGCAAAGCAACCTGATGCAGGAGGCAACAGAATAAAGAAAACTGGGGCCACAGAGATAGAATAAATGAGATGAAGCCCCAGTGTAATTGATTTCATGATCTGAACTCTGCCTTTCTCAGTTTGGTTACTGGCTGCTGCTACCGCCTCCTGGAGAACCCCACCATTAGTCACCAGAAGAACCGCCCCACGCGGGAAGCCATAGCCCGCCTGCTCGGAGTCGCCTTGACGCGTTATAACCATATGCTGAGTAAGTTAGCCCTCCCCTGAGCCCCGCCTTGGTCATTTCGCCCATGGTTTCTCACACTTCCTGCTTCCACAGGTGCCACTGTGAAGATCATCCAGATGCTGCAGCACTTTGAACACCTGGCATCTGTCCTGGTGGCAGCTGTGAGTCTGTGGGCAACTGACTATGGAGTGAAGAGCATAGTGGGAGAGATTGTGAGGTGACTCTTCCTTCTCTAAGCGTCTCATTCTCACTTCCCTCAGGGAGACGACAAAGAAAGATTGGAAATACATTCCCTGTGTAACACTGGATCCCTTCAGATGTTAGCTACCAGTTGTACCTTCCCTTCCTGGGAACTGAGTCATTAAGTTAGATTGCCATGGCTGTTTTTTCCCCTGTGTAGAGAGATTGGCCAGAAGTGTCCCCAGGAGCTGAGTCGGGACCCTTCAGGGGCTAAGGGCTTTGCCGCCTTCCTGACAGAACTAGCAGAACGCATCCCGGCCATCCTGATGTCCAGCATGTGCATTTTGCTTGATCATCTGGATGGAGAGGTAGGTGGTCCCCTGGGGATCTTGGCTTTTTCTAGGGATTTTAAGTCCGTTACTGAAAGGCTGTTTCTTAACAAGAGGGTAGCTTCCACGTGAAATCAAGTTGTGTAGGCTGATCACTCTGGCAGTTCCTTCCTGCAGAGAAGCAGATGAACTTTACTGAATTGAATAAAGAGCCATATGTTAACCCTGTTTCAATATCACACTGGCTTTATCCAGGTCTGGTAGGGGAGATGGCAGTTCCACAGCTTAAGTCTAGTAAGAGTGACTCAGCTGTGATTGCATCCTGTCCGAAGCCTCTTGCTGCCGCCCGGTTCTCAGATCCACCCATGTCATCTCTCTCAGTTCTCATCCCTCAGTGTTAACCTGGCTGCTTCCTAGACTGATGCAGGCACTCCTTGGTGAATGTCAAGGACAAAGACAGTCCACTCATTCATCTATTGCATTTTAACTCATTATGCAAGACCCCGCTCTCTGGCTCCTGACCTGGCAAAAACTCCAAACCCTGTGTCACATCAGATTCCATAATGGATTTGTTTGGCACCAGGGCTGATTTCTGCTTCTTTGTGTCTCATTCTCTGTCAGTAAGATGTGGGAAGGGGAGTGTGAGGGAAAGGTGGCGTTTAGTAGTAAGGATCAAAGGCTCAGATGACAGGCATGGTAATTAGAGCTTTTCAAATGTGTGTTGGTGGATAGATGTGATTTCATATTTGCTGCCACCATGGTTACCTGGGTGAGCTTGTGGGGGAAAATTGTACTGGGCTCTTGTTTATTTTGTCCCTGCATTCTTCTCTGAGCAGACAAGGCCCTTCTGGGATTCAGTTTTTTCCAGTGACCTTGGGGTGAATACCTGCTAGGCAGTTGACCAGAAAAAGTCTGAGCTAAGGAAAGCAAGCTTAACTTTGCCTAAAGGCCTTACCCTTTCTTTGTGCCTGGACAAGAGTTTAGGGAAAGGATAGTTAGTATTGGGGTGCAGAGGCCAGTACCAACCTCACTTCCCTCTCAGAATTACATAATGCGCAACGCCGTGCTGTCGGCCATGGCAGAGATGGTGCTGCAGGTTCTGAATGGAGATCAGCTGGAGGTGGCGGCCAGAGACACCCGAGACCAGTTCTTGGACACCTTGCACGCCCATGGCCATGACGTCAACTCCTTTGTGCGGAGCCGTGTTTTGCAACTCTTCACCCGAATCGTCCAGCAGAAGGTGAGCGGCCTTTGGCATGATAAAAGTACACAGTACCTCTCTCTGTATAGACCGAAGAAAAGAGGGTCAAAGATACCTGTCTCAAAGAGTGTAGAATTCAGGATTTTACTACCAGTAATAGAAGTCTTCCTCTATCAAGGACAGGGGTGCCTGACTCCGTTAAAGGACAATACTGCATCTTAACCACAACAAAGAGTAACCCCGAACTGCTCCTATCCCTAGGAAAGTTTCTTTAGAGTGAGTGGGAGCTCGTGCACAATGTACGTCACGACCATCTGGAGCAGAATGGACGATGTGGGGTGTGATCACATCCTCTTCCTGCCCCACATAGGCTCTGCCCCTGACGCGTTTCCAGGCAGTGGTGGCCTTAGCAGTGGGGCGCCTGGCAGACAAGTCGGTGCTGGTATGTAAAAATGCCATCCAGCTGCTGGCCAGTTTTCTCGCCAATAATCCCTTTTCCTGCAAGGTAAGTAGGCTTGGTCCACCCAAAAGAGAAGGAATTAAGGGAAACAGATACGAAATTCTGTGACTTAGTGACTTTGATATTCATTTTACCTCTGTAGCTTAGTGATACTGACCTGGCTGGACCACTGCAGAAGGAAACCCAGAAACTGCGTGAGATGAGGACCCAGAGGCGAGCTGCAGCTGCCTGTGAGTAGTTACCGCCCAAGACCTCACCCAGACATCCTCTCCCTGCAGCCAGACACTCAGTGCAGGGGTCTAAGTGAGCCTGTCTCATTCAGCCGCGGTGCTGGACCCAGGGGAGGAGTGGGAAGCCATGCTGCCGGAGGTGAGGGCTGCCCTGCAGCAGCTGCTGGCGCTTCCCCAGGAAGCAGAGGAGATCCCTGAGGAAATTGCCGAGACGGAGACCTCTGGAGACATGGAAGGACGCATCCGTCGGTTGCTCGCCAAAGCGAGTTACAAGTAGGTGACAGGATGGGATGTTCTCTGGTGGCCTGTTAGGGTTAGAATTCGCCTTTGAGAGACAATTTCTTTAAAATGAACTGCCACCAGGTGATGCTGCCACCAGGTGATGGTAGGTGTTCTTGCAGTAAGAGTCTGAACACCAGGTTTATGCCAGAGGCAAAGTCTGCAATCAAGCATGCCTTTCTGCTGTTGCAAATGTTTAAGGAAACTACTAAAACAGCTAAATGCAAATAGTGTTATAATTAAATATGACCAAAATCCTGCTTTATTTGAAGGAGACGTATAAGTATGATTCTAGTTCTATAAAGTAAGTTGCTTAAACTTTCTGGACCTCAGTTTCATTACCTTTTTTTTTTTTTAAGTTGATTAGATCGTATGATCTCATGATCTCTAGCAGCTTTCTAATTCCAAAATCTATGAGCTGATAAACAATGACAGAGTTGCTCAATCGTACCTTCATCTTTCAGTCAACCTAGTACGGATCCTAATCTTAGGGAAAAGGGTTTTGTGACTAGAACTTGAGAGCAGCTTGGTGACAAAAGTCTGCTCGCGTTAAACCTCAGCCACGAGTTGTTTGCTTTCCTTCCTGCCTGACCGGGTGGCTCACAGACGGCTGAGGAGAAGGCGTGCAGCCGGCCCTCCCGTTCCCTGCGGCTCTCTGCTGTCTCGCTTTGCTTCGCTGAAGCGTAAGGGAGACTGGTTTTCTGACCGTTCTGCCTCCAGGCTTGCTAGTGACCAGTTAGAGAAAGGCTGCTGCTTCTGGTAACGGTATCTCCTCCTCCTCCAGCCTCCTCAGCCTTCGGCGCTCGGTGAGGTTCTTAGTAGTGGAGATTTTTGACTTCCAATTACAAATTTAAACCTATGTTAAACCTTTTTAAAATAACTTTTGAAACAGTTTAATAGCAGCGGTTTTTTGTTGTTGTTGATGTTTGTTTGTTGAGCAGGAATCTACTTTTTTGAAATTAAACAATACGTTCACATGGTACAAAATTTAAAATTACAACAAGGACATGCCATGAAAAGTCCCTTCCAAACCGACTTTCCGGCCCCTTAGTTCCCTTCCCACGGGGAGGCAGTGTTAGTCATTATGAAGCCTCCTTCCGGAGGTAGTGCATACATACACAGTCAAACGTATTTTCATTTTTCTTTCTTTTTACACAAGTAACAGGGAATTCTCTACCCACTGACTCACCACCTTGCTTTTTTACTTAACTGTGTGTCTCGGTGGTTTTTAATATCTGCATAAATAGCTGCCTCATTTGCTATGGCTCCATCGAATCCTATAATATGGCCATGCTATAAATTAACCCATTATCGAAAGTTTATTTTTCCTAAACTGTCTCATAGCAAAGTGTTTTTAAGCAGACGTTTAGCATAGGTTTGTGGTTTTTAAATTTAAAAAGCCTTCCTTGAGTTTTTTGAAGCCTGTGGTAAGTCTTGTTCAGAGATAGGGAGATGCTTGGAGCTCCTTCTCTTCGTAGGTGCCCCTCAACTTTGTAAGCGTGAGAAGTGTCCCTTTTCTTTGGGGCAGCAGGTCTGGGTTCTTGATGGAATCATGAGGTGGGCTCCCTGACAGAAGGCTGTAGCGACACTCCTGTGGGTGCCGACTTGTGACAGGCTGTTCTTTCAGGCAGGCCATCATTCTCACTCGAGAAGCCGTGGGCCACTTCCAGGAGTCTGAACCCTTCTGTCACATGGACCCAGAGGAGTCAGAGGAGACCAGGTTCCTGAATCTCTTAGGAACTATCTTCAAAGGTAAATTCCTTTTCTTTCTTCAGTCAACAAACAAGATGTTCCAACTAGTATTTATGGACCATTTACTTTATGTCAGACGCTGGCCTGGCTAACAGAACCTGGTGCTGAAAGAGGCCAGAGAGGGGCTGGCTGTGCTTGTGCCCTGGCATGGAGGCAGCCCACAGGCCCAGGGCTGATAGTCACGGGGTATGAAAGGGTGTTTCCAAACCAGAGGAGGAGAAATCTTTTTGAGAAGTAGACCAAGACATTTTGGAATAAATTCTAAATTTATACCTTCCTATCATAGAAACAAATATCCAGGAGTGTTTGGACCTGTTGGGTATCCCCATGTACCTTTGAACAAAAACCATCCTGCGGTTCTCTAACTCCTAGGCCCAGCAGCTTCCACACAGGGGGCGAATCCCCAGGAGACTGTGGGGAACTTGGGCCCAGGAGAGACTGACCTTAAGGACAAGCCCAGTGTGTCAGAGCCTGAGAGACGCAGGGAAGACGATGAGCTGGTGAAGCAGGAGATGCTGGTGCAGTATCTGCAGGACGCCTACAGCTTTTCTCTGAAGATCACAGAGGCCATCGGCATCATCAGCAAGATGATGTATGAACACACAACGACAGGTGTGCCTCTCCGCGCTGGCAGGACCAGTCTTGTCCGTGTTTTATTAATACTCGTCTGCTCCTTTGCAAGGCAGGGATTCTTTATCTCCGTCTGCTTTGTGTAGCCCCAGGGAGCGTGTGCCGTTTACCACGGATACTATTTCACAGTCAGGTGTTTAGGGGACGCAGCACCCCCAGGGGGTGAGGAAGGCCTCCACGTGCGCATTGCTACATCAGGAAGGTTCTTATCCTGAAGTACTTGGGAAGGTTTTGCCAAGCAGATGGGTGACACTTGTGTTTGTCCTCTCAGTGGTACAGGAGGTGATTGAATTCTTTGTGATGGTGTTCCAATTTGGGGTACCCCAGGCCCTGCTTGGGGTGCGCCGCATGCTGCCTCTCATCTGGTCAAAGGAGCCTGGTGTCCGGGAAGCGGTGCTGAACGCCTACCGCCAACTCTACCTCAAACCGAAGGGGGACTCTGCCAGGTGAGCGCTAACCCTTCTGAAGCCAGCTTCTCCCGGGATGTGTCTCGTCTCCTGAAGGGCGGGGGCAGCATCCTTAGAAGGGAGTCCCAAATCCAGAGGCAGTAGGTCTGTAATGGGGCTCCCGATAAAACCCATCCTAAGCACTTATTTGGTGGTTTGTTGTTTACTGAAGTATAGTTGATGTACAGTATTGTGTAAGTTACAGGTGTACAACACTGTGATTCACAGTGTTAAAGGTCTTACTCCATGTATAGTTACCATGAGACATTGGCCGTGTTCCCCGTGTTGTACAGCAGAGCCTCACAGCAGTAGCAGCTTGTACACGATATCTGTGTTTCTTCATCCGCTGCCCCGATCGCCCTTTCCCCATTCCCTCTCGCCTGCTGGCACCGCTAGTCTGTTCTCTGTGCCTGTGAGTCTAAAGCAGTTGTTTACTATTTGACCCTGTGGTGGGATCGCCCTAATGATCTGTGAGCCAGGCTCAGCTTCTCAGCCTTGTAATGACCCTGATCCCTGCTCTTCCCGCAGAGCCAAGGCCCAGGCTTTGATTCAGAATCTCTCTCTGCTGCTGGTGGATGCCTCAGTTGGGACCATTCAGTGTCTTGAGGAAATTGTAAGTCTCCTCACTTCCACTTATTCATTCAGCAAGCAGCAGTGAGTAATTACTGTGTGTTCAGCAGTTTACTCAGCCCCAAAAAGAAGTATAAGATTATTTGCTTTCAAGTCTAGTTGGCAGCCAAAAAACAAAAGATTTCTAGAACAATGCAGCAGACGGATTGCTAGGTGCCAGAGTAAATGGCACAGGTCGTGGTTATAGCGGCAATTGTGGTGCAACAATCATGACACTTAGAGCGTGCCTGCCAGGCACTGTTCTCAGCACTTTGCTCATATTAACTGGTTTAATCTTCATGACAGCCTTGTGAGCTCGTACTGTTATCTGCATTTTACAGTGAGAAATCTGAAGCGCAGAGAGGTTACAGAACTTGGCTAATTACAGCTAGTTAGTGGCAAAGTTTGAGATTCAAACTCAGGCTTAAAAGTTCCAGAAAACATACTTTGACCGTGTCTGTCATCCTGGAGTGGGGAACAGAGCAGCGTGAGGTGGAATAGTTGAGGAAAAAGCTTCCTGAACGTAGCAGGACTTAATTTGGGTCTTGATGAGCAAGATTAGAGACTCAGAGAAAGGAAGGGAAAACATTTAAGTCAGAAAGCCAAGAGAGAGCTCTGCCTGTGCTGTTGGATGACCATTTTGTTCTGGCTCAAAACTGTTATCTGGAAAAGATGGTAAAGCTGGAAATGTGGGGTGGAACTAAATCAGGAAGGTCCCTGGATGACTTGAACCTTGTCAGCCAGCAACCCCAGCGTTTTACTTTGGCAGATGTGCTTGGAAGCATTCAGATTATGGGACAAAAGGCAGAAGTGGTGCCGACCACTGGTGCCCACTGGGAGGAGCACCACCGCCGGCCACATTTTCTCCTCCCTGCGGAAAAGGAGGGCCTGGTGGTGGCACCTGGCCTGCGATCTCATAGGGTAGCTACTGGCCAGCAGCCCACACAGCAGGTGAAGGAGAGCTGTTTCTAAGCGGCTAGCAGCGCCAGGTGTGATGAAACCGACGTCCGGGGAGACCGTAGCGTACAGGGCGGTAGGGGAGCAGAGGCTGTGGTAGGTGTGCGGCAACGAGGGCCTAGACTTTGGGGTGGGAGGAGAGTCTACAGAACCGCACTTAATGGAAGACGGTTTCAAAAGGAAGACTGGGTAGGACTAAGTGCTGCTTCACAATTAGGTGACAGTGAAGTCTGATGCGCACGTGGCTGAGAGTGATGGTGTCTGTTGGCAAGACAAAAGGCAAAGGATGATGGCCTCCATTTCAGACATGTGGCATTTGTGGTGACGGCAAGGAGACCCACTAGAAATCTCCAGAATGGAGTCCAAACTGTAGGTCCACACAAACTCAGCAAGGGCATCTGCGATGTGTCATTTATATATGATACTGTAAGAAGTGGGATTTTGAAGGCATGAAGGTAGAAGAGTGGTGGAGACGGAAGCACCTCCCCAAAGCCCTGCTTTGTGTCGTGAGCCTCCTCCTTCCTCTCCTGTTCTAAGCATCGCCTTTACCCACCTCAGGCTCTCCGTGTTCTCTCCAGAGAAGGTGGGCCAAGCCTCAGGGGAATTGTTCTTTTTTGGCCTGAACAGTTTTTCATTTCTCTGCAGCTCTGTGAGTTTGTGCAGAAAGATGAAGTGAAACCAGCAGTGACCCAGCTGCTGTGGGAGCGGGCAACTGAGAAGGTCCCCTGCTCGCCTCTGGAGCGCTGTTCCTCTGTCATGCTTCTTGGGATGATGGCACGGTGAGGCTCAGAGCCAGACAGGCAGGGGGATGAGAGGAGGGGAAGGTTCCCTTCTGTAATAGCAGTCAGGCCCAGCTGAGCTCTGCGCATGCGTCAGCCATCTAAATGGAAAATAAAACAGTGACAGGACCAGCCCACCCGCCCGGCAGAAATAGCGGGGTCATTAGAGCCGAGGGATACCGAGGGGCCGGCCCTGGGTCAAAGCCTCTGTGGAGCTCCAGGGCCCTGTGTCGGATGCTGGCTCCTGCCCTCCTTGGCATTGTCCCCCACACAGAGTCAGGTCTGTGACTGGCTTTAACTCTTTGGCTTCCTCTCCCTAGAGGAAAACCGGAAATTGTGGGAAGCAACTTAGACACACTGGTGAGCATAGGGCTGGATGAGAAGTCTCCACAGGACTACAGGCTGGCCCGACAGGTGTGCCACGCCATCGCCAACATCTCTGACAGGAGGAAGGTATGTGAGGTGGTTACGTCCAAACCAAGGAGTGCGGGGTCCTCCCATCCACCCTCACACACACCTACATTGTCTTCCCTGCTCTCAACAGCCTTCTCTGGGCAAACGTCACCCTCCCTTCCGGCTGCCTCAGGAACACCGCTTGTTTGAGCGCCTGCAGGAGGTGGTCATAAAAGGTGAGCTACTGGGAGGGGCTCGGGCAGAATAGGGTCCTTTGTCGGCAGTGGGCAACTTCTCCCTTCTCCTGTGCAGGCTTTGTCCACCCAGACCCACTCTGGGTCCCATTCAAAGAGGCCGCAGTGACTCTCACTTACCAGCTGGCAGAGGGCCCCGAGGCGATCTGTGCCCGGATGTTGCAGGGCTGTGCGAAGCAGGCCCTGGAGAAGCTGGGGGAAGAAAGTGCCACCCAGGAGGCCCTGAGTAAGTGGGCAAGAGGGTCAGTGGGCCCGTGGGCAGCAGCCAGCTTCTGCTGCTGTCCCTGCTGGCCAGAAGCCACTGCCACCACCACTTCCTACAGTGACCCCTGACCCCCTCAGCCCGCCTTGTCCCTTTTTGTCACCCGTGCTGGGCTAGTCACTGCCACCATCCCTCCACTGCCATCTCTGCTTCTTTACCAGGCTTTATAGCACATGAGCAGGGGACCATCAGTACAAACAGGGCACCAGGTCCTATGAGGCTTGATTGTCTTTTTCTCCCTGCCGTCCCTCCCTGCTCCTGCAGAGGACACCCCCATGCTCCCCACTTTCCTGTTGATGAACCTGCTGTCCCTGGCCGGGGACGTAGCCCTGCAGCAGCTGGTGCACTTGGAGCAGGCGGTGAGCGGAGAGCTCTGTCGGCGCCGAGTTCTTCGGGAGGAGCAGCAGCAGAAGACGAAAGAGCCAAAGGAGAAGGTGAATGGTGCGCCTGGGCGCTGGGGCCCGTGTCCCAAGCATTTCCCAGGGTTGCTTCCTGCCCCCGGATGGTTCACATTTCCCTCTGGGGATCCCTGCTTCTCTCCTGTTAAATAAGCTGGAAACTGCCCTCCTTGCTGCTACTGCTCTGGGAAAGATTGGTGAGAGCAAAGATGGATCACCCAGGAAGCAAAGTTTTAGGTAAATCAGAGCGCTGAGTTAGGGACCTCGGCATAAAATACAGGCTCTGCCCAAGGCAGTCTTTGTTAGAACAAGCACGTCCCTGCCTTTCCCGGCAGCCTCGGGGGCTGGGCCTGGCACCTGCTGGGACCTTGTGTTCTCTCCACTAGAGGCAGTGATGTCTGGCAGGCGAATAAGACAGAGTCCTGCAGCAGTGGGATAAAGTCTGACCTTCTCTGTGACCTTGAACCGTTGTCTGGCAGGCTCTATTTACTGTATGCAGGAAATTATATACTTCCGTGAGGATGCACTAAGAAGAGATGTAGGATGCTCTGGCAACTTAAAAAACAAGCAGAGGGGACCTAGTTCTTTTCCTGTTTGATTCAAGAGTCCTTCCTCTTTAGATGAGTATGAGAAGTCTGTGAATGGTTTTGCAGAATTTGCCTTTCTCCAGATCCATTCATGGGAAATGAAAGGTAAGCTGGAATCAAAACTGTCTGCTCACCCATGACCCCTGGCTGCTTTCCCATCAGCATACAAGCTCCGAGGCCACCATGGAGGAGGAGATGGGGCTGGTTGGAGCTACTGCTGATGACACGGAGGCAGAACTGATCCGCAGCATCTGTGAGCTGGAGCTGCTGGATGGTGAGAAGCAGTGCTGAGGGGCCGCCTCCCCCGCTGACATAGCCTGTCCCAAACCTTGAGTTGTTTTTCCACCAGGCAAACAGACACTGGCTGCCTTTGTTCCACTTCTGCTCAAAGTCTGCAACAACCCTGGTCTCTATAGCAACCCGGAGCTCTCCGCAGCTGCCTCACTTGCCCTGGGCAAGTTCTGTATGATCAGGTGGGCCCTGGGGTTGGGATGGCCTTCTCAGAGGGCATGGGGGATGGGATGGTTTCCCTCATGATCCTCTCTTTGCCCCTAGTGCCACTTTCTGTGACTCCCAACTTCGTCTTCTGTTCACCATGCTAGAAAAGTCCTCACTCCCCATTGTTCGATCTAACCTCATGATTGCTACTGGGGATCTGGCCATCCGCTTCCCCAACCTGGTGGACCCCTGGACACCACATCTGTATGCTCGGTAAGAGATCCCTCACGACGCCTTAGCAGCCCCTGAAGCTCTGGGAGGCAGTGGTGAAGTCAGCATGCGAATCACCAGAACTGTGTTCCCCAGACCTTACCATTCCTTGAACCTTTGCTTCACACGTGACCTGTGCAGGCCCTGGCTAAGTGTGGCCCCAGAGGGATGGACGCCTCTTGTCTAAAGCCTTGGTTACACCCTTGGCCTCTTGCCGCAAACCTAGCTTCCAACTCTAGACAGCTTTCTAACTGTTTCTCAAATTGCACAATAAGAAGAGCTCATAGATTCGTGCTGAGGGCCTCCCTGCCAGTATCAGGGTGTAGTCCCAGTGACTTGAGATTTCACTCCTAGCCTCCGGGACCCCGCTCAGCAAGTGCGGAAAACAGCGGGGCTGGTGATGACCCACCTGATCCTCAAGGACATGGTGAAGGTGAAGGGGCAGGTGAGCGAGATGGCCGTGCTGCTCATCGACCCCGCCCCTCAGATCGCTGCCCTGGCCAAGAATTTCTTCAACGAGCTTTCACACAAGGTGAGAGTCAGGGAGGCAGCCCCAGGCATGCTGCGGAGGGAACATGCAGGTCTCCTGCCTCTGACGAGACTCTCTCTTACAGGGCAACGCAATCTATAACCTCCTTCCAGATGTCATCAGCCGCCTGTCAGACCCCGAGGGTGGGGTGGAGGAAGCGCCCTTCCGCACCATCATGAAGTAGAGCTCTGGGTCTCGGGGCACGTTTTCTAGTCCCGCAGGCTTAGGGATCAGACCTGTGTGTGCATCCTGGCTCTGCTGCTCTTTAGCTGTGTGGGATTTGGCAGTAACCACCTCTCTGTGCCTGTTCCTTCTGCATAAAATTAGGCCATAAATACTCGCACCTTATTAGTTCTCGAGAAGATCCAACAGAAGCTCCTAAAACGCTGGGCAGCCCGTGGTATTGCTCACTAGATGGCGGCTGCTTTTGTTACAGATTCCCACTCGCAGTGCAAATTCCTCGGGTGGGGGCGGGGGACCTTCTTGGAGGTGGGGGAGAGGGCGGGAGGGACGTGCCAGGGCCCAGGCCACGGCGCGGAGTCTTCTACTGAGGCAAGAGGAAGACAGGCAGCCGGTGCAGGGGAGAGTCCAGGGCTGGCGTTGGGGCGGGTTGGGAGCTGCCCTCGGGAGACGGCCCATCTGCATCTCCCTTCCTGCAGGCAGCTGCTCTCCTACGTCACCAAGGACAAGCAAACGGAGAGCCTGGTGGAGAAGCTGTGCCAGCGCTTCCGCACAGCCCGGTAAGCTGCCTTCCTGGAGGGCTCTTTGTGCTGAGAGGTAGAGGGTGCCCGGAGCAGCCCAGGGATGTGGGAGACTGATGAGGGAGGCTGGGCCCTTCCCTCCTGCTGCCACTGCTCCTCAGGATGCCTTCCCATCTGCAGGACCGAGCGGCAGTACCGGGACCTGGCCTACTGCGTGTCCCAGCTGCCCCTCACCGAGCGAGGCCTCCGCAAGATGCTGGACAACTTTGACTGCTTTGGAGATAAACTATCGGACGAGTCCATCTTCAGTGCCTTTTTGTCAGTCGTGGGCAGGTTGAGGCGCGGAGCCAGGCCTGAGGGAAAGGTGAACAGCGCCTGCTACATTCCAGCCGCAGTTCGTGCCTGCGCGGTGTTCTGAGTGCCGGGGCTCCCGGTGCCTGACTCATCCCCAGATGATTGCACCCAAGTAACCAGGGTGACCTGAGACCAGGCCTCTGTCTCCAATTCTTGATTCTTTGTTTCTTTTTCTCTTTTTTCCATAGACTTTATTAAGGGCAGTTGCACGTTTAAAGAAAAATTGAATAGAAAGTATAGAGTTCTCTGGGCTGACCCTGCCCCCTGGCAGACATGGTCTCCCCAGTTCCCCTCGTCTGGGCCAGAGCACCCAGGCCAGGGCGGGCGTTTGTTACCGGCAGTGAACCAGCCCTGACACGCCACTGTTGCCCCTGGTTCCCCGGGGGTTCCCTCCAGATGGAGCGCGCACTGTGTGTTTAGACAAACGTATCCTGACCTGTGTCCACCGCCGTGTCCTTCAGAGGAGTCTCCCTGCCCCGAGGAGCCTCTGCTCCCCCATTTACCCCGGGGCCCACAGCCCCGGCAACCACTCATCCTTCTACTGTCACCACAGCTTTGCTGTTCTCAGAATGTCATATCGCGGGAGTCACACAGCGTGTACCCTTCTCAGCTGGGTTCTTTCACTTAGTGATGAGCATTTAAGGTTCCTCCATGTCCTTTCATGGCCTTGTTTCTTTTTAATCACAGAAATAACTATTTCCAGGCCTGCTCTTAATCTCTTTTTCCCATCAGACTATAATAGATGAATTTGAGCAGAAGCTTCGAGCCTGTCACACCAGAGGTTTGGATGCAATGGAGGAACTTGAGAATGGCCCTGGGGGTAGCCACAGAGCCCCATCAGCCAAGAAACAACCCACTGGTATGTGAGGCAGGCCCTCCTCTCCTCTCAGATTAGGGGTTCCTTTATTTACTTTATTATCTTTTTTTTTTTTTGGACTCATGCCTCTGCCTTTTCTAGTTTCCAGACGAAGGCATCTGGCTTCTGCAGCCTCAGACAATGACTTCGTCACACCTGAGCCCCGCCGTATGACCCGTCGGCATCCAAACACCCAGCAGCAAGTTTCGAAAAAGAAACTCAGAATTGTCTTCTCAAGCGATGAATCCAGCGATGAAGGTACGGTGCTCCCTCACAGACTTGGTCCAGAACGAGGTGAGCTTGCGAGGAGGCTGGCTTTGCGGGGTATGCCACTGTATAGAGGTGTCCCTTCTCCTCCCCGCCCCCCACCCCTCACCTGTTTTTCTTCTTGTGCTGTGAGGTCTGAAACTGTTCCATTTGTTCTCCAAGATCTATTTTTCACCATCTTTGTAACTCAGCTTTTCCTTATCCCCCCAATTCTTTGAATAGAACTGTCAGCAGAGATGACAGAAGATGAGACACCCAAGAAAGCCACGCCCATCCGCCGAGCATCTGCCCACAGGCACAGGTCCTAGGGCGGCCTTGCCTGTCCCCATCCCTGCTGTGCAGGTGTCTTGTGGAGTGACCTTGAACACCACCCGCTTGTAGAATACTTGTTTGCCCGTCTGCTTGTTTTTTATAACACGTAAGTGATCTTTGTAATGTAAGGCATTGCTCTTAAACGCCTCATGGAACCAAGTGGAGCTGCTTTCACTGGAATATACGTTTGCCAGTCTCCTTGTTTTCTAATGAATAAATGTTTTTATTTACTTTTAGAGGTTTTTCCTAAGCTGTCTTTGTTTCATCTTTCACGTTATCCCAGAGGCAGGCAGCAGGTTGTCAATTCAGAAGATGAGCCCAGGAGTCTAGGGCCTGACCCGGCATCTGAGCGTCAGGCCCCCTCAGTGCCTCGTCGTTGCCTCCACCTCCCCTGCACACGCAGCAGGGTTGCTCCCAGGTGGAGAATTAGGCAGCAGCTAGACTTCAGAGAGGCCCTTCTCAATCTGGGGCGATTTTGCCCTCCAGGGGACATTCAATAATGTCTGGAGACTTGTCACAGCCTAGCAGGGAGGGGTGCTCCCAGCAGCTAGTGGGTAGAGGCCAGGGATGTTGCTCAGTATCCTGCTGCACAGGACCCTCCCACCACAAAGAATGATCTGGCCCAGAATGCTGGCTAGTGGTGCTGAGGCTGAGAAACCCTCCCTTCCGCCACGGGCTGGTTTCTTCTGTCCTGCCCCCACCCCAACTTGTTCCCCTAACCTCACCTCTGAAGACAGGTGCCCGACCTGGCCAGGCTGCTGGCAGTTCAAGTCATGATCCCCTGCAGCTCTAGACAGTGTCTCTCCAGCCTGCCTACCAGGGGTGCCTCACCGTGTTACAGGGTCTGCAGGAGTCAGCCCCTCAGGCACAGGCCCTGTCCACCCACCCCTGCTCCCCAAGTCTCTGCTGAGTCACCTGAACAGGAGGCAGCGAGGCTGCTGTCATGACAACACTGGTGTCTTTGCTGTCATGACAACAGCAGACTGGGCCAGTCACGCTCCCTGGGCACTGAGCTCCCTCCTTCCAGCAGAGGACAGTAATAAGAAATGACAAGCATGAGGCAAAGGGGAACATGCCTTGGGTAGCACAGGAGGGTGGAGGGTGGGTACCTAAGGCCCCTCAGGAAAAGTGTTTGCAGTCCTGTGGGAGCCTGAGCAGGAGCGAACAGTGGCAGCAGCGTGTTTCCCCTGCACTTCCCCAGCCAGCTCCTCAGTGTGGCGCCTCCTGCCTCCTCTCACCCTTAGGCGCCCTCTGGCCCTGCTCTTGCTGCTCTTGAAACGTCTGGGCACCAACCATGCAGATGGCTGCTGGCCACAGCCAGCCTTGGATCTGGGGCCCCAAGGAGGGAGGGCAATCCCAGAAAGGGAAGGGACGGTCTGGAGTCGGGGTGCTGGATAGCGTGCTCTCTGCCTTTTAAGCAAAGGTTATCACCAGGCCGGCTAAACTTAGCCACAGGCTTTTCAGCTGGAAAAGGGGGCTGGTCTCAGGTTACGCTGGGCCAGCAAAGAGGCCCCAGTTCCGTCCCCCAGCACCTGCTGATGGGCAATGTCTGTTCCACTCCACCCTCTTTAGACCATTAGCCCCTCAGTTCCTCAGAACCAGCCCTTCCTGCATCCTCAGCTCACAAACCTGGGACAGCTGGGGCTCCTGACCAGTCTTGGAGGGGAATGGATCCCTTTACATCATGTGCGGGAAGGGACTGGGGGCCTGTTCCCACCATGTGCCCAAGACCTCTCAATTTTTCCCTCTTCTGGACTCCCCACCCTGCCCCCAACATCCCTTGGGCGCAGCCAGTGAAGGGGAGGCCCTGATTCCAGGGCTGGCCTGCACGTTCCAGGATGGGGAGGGACTTCCGCCCTCACGTCCTACTCTCTGCCCGGGGCTGGACAGGCTGGATGGGGTGAAAGGGGCATTGTCTCCCAGCCTGGGCGGCACAGCCCTCAGGTTTCCCAGGAGCGACTTTGTTGAGAGGCCTCCGGCCCTCTACCCGCCCAGCCCCAAACATTGATCCAGATCCTGTCCCGCCCTCGCCCTGGACCCCAGCCTCTGCCTGGGGGAGAGCAGCTGGTGCACACAGGGCCTAGTTTGTCTGCCCCGATTCTCAGGTCTCCAGGCTGTCCGCGCTGCAAGACATCGTGACCTTCAGTGCAAAAACCTCCCCTTCAAGCCTTCTCCTGAACCTTTTTCCCCTCCAGGCCCACACTGCCCAGCGCCCAGCCCCGGCCCCCGGCCCAAAGAGGCGCGGAGCCAGGTTGGGGGTGCAGTGGGGAGAGGGGTCTGGGAAGGGCCCCGCGGGAGGCCCCTCCCGAGCCTTCCTCTGCAAAGCCTGTTTTACTACCGAAGAGCATCGAGAAGTTCCTCGTCTCTCGGCCATTGAAAGCAGCGGGGCGGGGGACGGGGTGGGGGTGGTGAGGAAGGGGGAGCCTGCAGCGGGGAGCCGCCCCGGGCTCCGGCTCCAGTTCCCCATCCCACTGGCTCCCTAGGTCCTCCCGTTACATCCAGGCAGCAACTTTAACGTCCCTGACTCCTGGTTGTCCTCAGCTCTTACCAGAGCCCTTGCCCCGGAGTCCACAGGCCCCCCTACATCCCCCAGGCACCATCACCGGTCGCCTCCTCCTTGGGGCCTCAGTCCCCTCCCCCTCTCAATCCTCAGCCCACAAGGGCGGTGCGTGCACATTTGAAGAACCAGGCGGATCCAAAAAACAGGATGGGGCCGGCTACTCGCGGTTTTACGGGCGCACGTAGCTCAGGCCTCTGTACCTCGGGGCCCCGACTGGGCGAGGCGAGCTCGCGTCACCACGCCCCCGCCCCGCCCCCTGTCCTATAAATTCAGGCTGCAGCCACCCCCGGCGCTCTCTGCTCCTCCCCGTTCGACAGACAGCCGCATCTCTCGTGAGTGCCAGGTAAATCGTGGCGCAGAGGAGCCACAAAGGGCTCGGGGACGGGCCCGAAAGGGATACGGGCGTGCGCGGGCAGAGGGTGCGGCTGCGGGTTCCAGCCCGGGCCGGGGTCTGAGTTGCGCCCGGTTGGGCCCCCGCATTGCAGGGGCGGGAGGAAGGACGTGCGGAAGCGCAGAGCGGGGATGGAAGCCTGGGGGAGGGGCTGGGAGGGCCCCCACTGAACTCCAGCCGCTTCGCCCCGTGGTCTAATGCTCACTTTCGTCTGCCCGCAGCCGAGTCTCTGAGACACGATGGTGAAGGTCGGAGTGAACGGGTAAGTTGGGGGAGGGGTCCATAAGTCCTGCAGCCCCCACCGAATTGCGTCGGCAGGTCTTGCCCTACTGGGTCTCTGCAAGCGCGTGGGGGACCTGGAGGGGGTGATCGTAACCCCTCAAGGGGAAATCAAGGTCAGCGCCCAGACCTGGCAGAGGCCTTCTCAAGGCCGCGTGTCCCCCATCCCCGGCTGCTGCGGCTCCTGTAACTCCGCCCCTGCGGAGCCTTCCACTCCACCTGCTGCAGATACGCAGGAGTCTCCAATTCTTGCTTTGGCCCCATCCCCTTAATCCCCCAGCTGGGGCTCTTTCTTTCCTTTCGCGCCCTGCGGGGTCACGTGTCAGGGAGGAGCCCGTCCCCCGCCCCCAGCCGGTGCCCCCAGCCAGGCGCAGCCCCAAGATGCTGGAGGCACAGCTGCGTGCAGAACCAACTGGGAGGGGTCAGTTACAGTAACCCAGCCGCCATGTTGCAACTCGGAAGGAAATGAATGAACCGCCGTTAGAAAACCCTCCTTAGGCCTTCAATCTAACCCCTTCCTTGCCTGTGACTAACCCTCCTCCTCCTGCCTCCTGGGGTGGAGTCGCCATTATCCCGTAACCCAAGTGAGGCTAGGCTTTCCCGTTCTTGCTCAGCTGGACCTCAGCTCTTGGCCATATTAGCCCTGGACCATCCCTTAAAACACTGGCCAGCTTCCCCCTCAGGGATATGATGAGTTCCCTAGATAGTTCGCTGGTGAATCAAAAACATGGGTTTTCATGGGGTGGTCCTGTGTTGGGTTTTGTCTTTTTTTTTCCCCCTTTTTCCGGAGAGGTGTGGTGGCTGTGGCTCAGTGCCATGCTGGGGGAGCTGAGTCATGGGCAGTTAGAAATTTTCCACCACAAAATGGCTCCCGGAGCAGTAGCCCCTGTCTCCACACTGGCTCCCCTCGAAGCTCCTTTCTTCCATCCATGCCTAGAGCTGACCCAACCCTAAAGGCCAGGCTATAAAGGTCACCAAGAGGATTAGATGTCCATGAGCCTTGGGAATCCTGCCCTTCTCTCCATCCCGTCTTCCAGAAACCAGATCCCCACTCCACCCTAAGCTGGGGTTAAATATAGCTGCCTGACCTTTCTGCAGCTGGGGGCCTGGGCTTCTGCTCTCTTCCACGCCGGCCCCCCACATCCGTTCCTCCCTCTCCTGATTTTTGGAAGAGAGCTAGGAAGGACAGGTACTTAGCAAATTAGACTCCTGGGATTAGGGGCTTGAGAAACCACTCATTTTCCCTGTCTCTTTCCCTTTTGTAGGAGGGACTTGGGAAGGAGTGGGTTTCCCTAGCCAGTTAATTTCTGACCTTTGATCTTGCCCTTTGAGCTCAGTGATGCTGAGTGTACAAGTCTTTGCTCCCTAGGGTACGTGTAGCCTGAAGCTGGGCCAGACAGGAACAAGCATTTACAGATAGTGGGCGTGCTGAATGCCATGTGCCTGCCACGTGCCCAGGCTGTAGGCAGCAGTAGCAGTGCACCACCCTGTCACTCCTCAAAAGGTTTCAGATAACTAGGGGGTGGCAATTTTTGAGCCTGATCACCTCTGGGTCAGGAAAGGAGCCTCCACTTTGTGGCCATGCTGGAAAGCCAGGCTGGCCTCGCCAGGTGGCTGGAGGAAGATAAAGTGAGATCTCTTGGGACTTGCTGGTGGTGGGAAAGGGCCATCCTCCTTGAAAAGGGAGAGGGGGCCGAGGGCCACATCCCAGGAGAGCTCTCTCCTCCACCCTCCTCCTCGTGCCTTCACACCTCTTGTCTCCCTCAGATTTGGCCGTATCGGGCGCCTGGTCACCAGGGCTGCTTTTCACTCTGGCAAAGTGGACGTTGTTGCCATCAACGACCCCTTCATTGACCTCAACTACATGGTAAGTGCTGCTCAAGCAGCTGGTGGGGGCGGGGCCTGGGCGGGGCCTGGCTGAGGCGCAGCCGCTGAATGCCCTCACGCGCCTCCCCTCCAGGTCTACATGTTCCAGTATGATTCCACCCATGGCAAGTTCCATGGCACCGTCAAGGCTGAGAACGGGAAGCTTGTCATCAATGGAAAGTCCATTACCATCTTCCAGGAGTAAGTGTGGGTGACGGGACAGGAAGACATTTGCCTGGTTGGGGGAGGTACTAGAACAGGGTGACCACCTTGGGTCCATGGTACCCCATGTCCCTGAACTTCGTCCTGTCTTGTAGGCGAGATCCCGCCAACATCAAATGGGGCAACGCTGGTGCTGAGTACGTTGTGGAGTCCACCGGTGTCTTCACTACCATGGAGAAGGCCGGGGTGAGTGGAAGGGCAGCTGAGGATGTGGAGAATTTACCCTCGGGTGTGGTGCAGCAGGAAGACTGGGGACGGCTGACTTAGACCTGGAAGGGAGAGCCCGGTTGTAATGGTTCTTGTGCTGCAGGCTCACTTGAAGGGTGGAGCCAAGAGGGTCATCATCTCTGCCCCTTCTGCTGATGCCCCCATGTTTGTGATGGGCGTGAACCACGAGAAGTATGACAAGTCCCTCAAGATTGTCAGGTGAGCAGGACAGAGGGGGATGGAGAAGAGGTCAGATCGTGTTGTGCGGTACCTGATGGGTGAGCCCCTGACTTGCCTCCCTCTTTTCCAGCAACGCCTCCTGCACCACCAACTGCTTGGCCCCCCTGGCCAAGGTCATCCATGACCACTTTGGCATCGTGGAAGGACTTATGGTATGAGTGATGGGGGACATGCCAGATCACATTCATTTCTCACCCGGGAGTGAATCCTCCCTCCCAGAGCACAGCCCTCCCTGAGGGGAAGGCAGGGTGGGTAGGGCGTGTGATGAGCACCAGGCAGGGCCTTCACTCCCTGCTCCATGTTTCCAGACCACAGTCCACGCCATCACTGCCACCCAGAAGACTGTGGACGGCCCCTCTGGGAAGATGTGGCGTGATGGCCGAGGGGCCGCCCAGAACATCATCCCTGCTTCTACTGGCGCCGCCAAGGCTGTGGGCAAGGTCATCCCGGAGCTGAATGGGTGAGACTCTTTGCTGCTTCTCTGCCCCAGGGGATCTGGGGAACCAGTCGAGCGGTGCTGACTCTGCTTCCTGTGTCTACAGGAAGCTCACTGGCATGGCCTTCCGTGTCCCCACCCCCAACGTGTCTGTTGTGGATCTGACGTGCCGCCTGGAGAAACCTGTACGGATGAGCTGGAACAGCAGGGGGAGGGGGCGGGGGGGGTGGCTACAAGATTGGATCCTGAAAATCATCTCGTTTTTACCCTGTCAGGCCAAATATGACGACATCAAGAAGGTAGTGAAGCAGGCATCGGAGGGCCCCCTCAAGGGCATCCTGGGCTACACGGAGGACCAGGTACTGATAGGTCAGGGAACTTGGTGTCCCCAGGGCCCTCTGAACCAGACTGAGCTCCCATACCTGGTCCTCTCCCTCCTCTAGGTTGTCTCCTGTGACTTCAATAGTGACACTCACTCTTCCACTTTTGATGCTGGGGCTGGCATTGCCCTCAATGACCACTTTGTCAAGCTCATTTCCTGGTATGTGGCACTTGGGTGAGGGATGATGCTTAAGAATGTGGCGGGATCTGGCGTCCCCTGGTGGCTGACTTAGGAAACCGGCCCTTAACTCTCCTTCAGGTACGACAACGAATTTGGCTACAGCAACAGAGTGGTGGACCTCATGGTCCACATGGCCTCTAAGGAGTAAGAGTCCCTGGACCCCCAGCCCCAGCAAGAGCACAAGAGGAAGAGAGAGGCCCTCAGCTGCTGGGGAGTCCTGGCCCCAACTCGATCCCCCAACACACCTGAGAATCTGACCTCCACACAGTTTCCATCCCAGACCTCCTGAAGAAGGGGGGGGGGGCTCAGGGAGCCCTGCCTTGTCACGTACCATCAATAAAGTATACTCAACCCAGCCTGCTCTGCGTGGTCTCACTCCAGGGGGCCAGGATCCAGGGAGGGGAGCTGGGCCAGCCGAGGAGAACTAGATCTGAGCCCCAGACTAGGCAGAAGCCCCCCTGGCCTGGAGAACACCCTCACAGGGGTGCGCTGCCTTTCCTCCCGGGTGCTCCGGGAAGCCTGCCCGGCCACCGTGGGGAACTAGGCCGATCCCACTGCACCGCTGCTCCAGGTTGCCGGGGCCTGGCTGCCTACGTCCAGACGCCATTCTGACTGCAGCTCCCGGAGGGTAACACTGGCACACGGTCCATCAGGCCTCGGCTGGTGACCTGCCTTCTCTAAAGCAGAACAGGGAGCATGGCCAGGCTGCCAGTGCGGATTCCTTCTCTGCCTCAGTCCTCGCCCCTAGTGACGCCCCCTGCAGTGAGGCTGTGAGGGTGCCCAGCTCCCGCGGTCATCAGAGGCGTTACAGTAGGGTTTGACCGGGGGCAGGGATGGGATGGCTTTACTCCCAGGTCGCCGGTGGGCTCAGCGGGAAGCACAGCCGGCACCAGCGACCCGGGCTGAGGCCCACTTGAGGCTCCCGTTACTTTGGACAAGTTACTTAGAACCTCTACACCTCGCCCTGCACCTGCATGTTTGTAAAATGGTGAAAACCAGCCACACGGCACGGTGAGGGCTGTCGCCAAGCCACCACCAGAAACTGCTGGAAACAGCGACACAAAGTGTTCAATAAATACTTGCCAGTTTCATTATTAGATTCCACTCAACATCAGCCCAGCCCAGCCCAGCCCAGCCTGCCTCGGGCAGTGGCGCTGAGGTCGCCTCAGTCTCGCCTCCCCAGTTTCTCCGAGCTTTTCCGAGTCCGGGACATCTTGCTCAGTCTGTTGGTCTCAGTGCACGAGACACGGAGGAGGCACGTCTTCAGCTGATGCTTGAAGAAGCTGTGGCCCTGAGCACACATGCTAGACACACGTGCACACGCGCACACACACACATCCACACAGGTAGTGCCCCCTTCCTGTCACTTGGCAGTGACAAGCAGGAGCTTCCACCTCCCTCTACAATACTGCGCTCGGTCAGACCCAGAAGCCGCCTGGACTGGGCGCTCTAAGGCCCCGTTATGTGTAGCACTTCCATGAGGGAAGTCACAGCCATGTCACTCTGCTGTCAACGGGCAGACGGCCGTGAGCACTTGGACAACAGGACAGAGTGCTGTGCCTAGTCCCACTCCCTCCACCTGTGACATGCAGGGACAACCTCTCCTGTCGCACAAGCCACAGGATGTCCAGCCTGGTCCACTTCATACCAGTGCCTGGGCCAGTCAGCACCAGTACAGAATCAAGACTGCCAGCTGGCTCCAGGCCACAGGGAGGGAAGGAAGATCACAGTCCTCACTCGACGGAGAGGGCGAGAGGCCGCGAGCGCCGGCAGCGTGTTAAAGGCGAGAGTAGCAGACACCCAGGCGTGAAGGCAGGAGACCCCGGCTGTGCGGCCAGGCCTTGCTCCAGACACCCCAGAACCCGAGAGAGGCCAAGGACCGAGGCAGGAAGCCGGGAGGAGAGCCTAGGGCCCGAGGCCAGGCTCGGTGCCCCCTTCTGCGACCCCCAGCCCTCTGTCTCGCAAGCGGGACCCCTGCGGGCCAAGCTGGAGGAGGTCCCTATCTCATGGAGCTGTCAGATGAGACATCGTGATCGGAGTCCTCAGCCTCGCTTGGCGGCGGTGGCGGCGGGTCGCTAAGCGGGACCGCAGTGAAAGCAGGAGACTTTCTAGAAAAAAACACCAGTTGTAACCTCGGAGCAGACAGGAATCCTGAGGAGGCTGGCATCCCCGCCCCTGGACTGATTCCTTGGCAGGCAGGTGAGTAACACCTTCAGCGGGGCAGGAGGCCACAGGTGAGGGTGGATGCAGGGTCCTCTCCCACCCCAGCCTGATGGGTGGACAGTCCCCGCTTGAACGTAGGGACCCCGAAAAGCTGAGTTCAGAAATATCTGAAGTCACAGCATGAGACACTGCCTGTTTGAGTGCCCTGGCTCTGTGGCCCCAGCTTTACGTATAGCTGTAGTAGTTTTGTGATTAAAAGAAAAAATTGATACAGGGTCAAAGTCACAAACTGTGGTCCTGACTTTAGATAAAAATCTGCCCCTGCGCCCCTTCTGCTCCTGGTTGATTGGTAGCTGCCTTTGACCAGAAGCACCATCAGAGTGGGTGGCACCGGGGAGTTTCAGCCATCGAGCCACGAATGGATACACGTATCACCCAGCTGCCAGGAAGAGGAAGCCGCGGACCAGGCCGAACATAGTAGGTGACCTCCGATGGGCAGCCCCACCTCATCGGGCTGAGTCACCGCCAGAGCGGTGCCGGGCGCTGCCCCCTGCCCACCTGCACCCTGGGGGACCCACACTCCAGGGAGGGCTTACCGGTCCCCAGACTGGGTGATGAGCCGGCGGCAGGTCTCCATCTGCACGTCCAGGCCCCGCTTCATGCTGCACATCTCCATGTACTCGTGCAGGTGCCGGTTCATGTCGTTCTTGGCTGTGGCCAGCTCCAGCTGCGGCGGGGACGGGGCAGGGCTGCTGGTCAGCAGGGCCCCTGCCCCCAGTCCCCGGGAGGCTAAACTGCCAAGGGCACCCCCCGGACAGGGGCCCAGGCAGCCAGGGTGGAGGGCTGACATCTAAAAGCAAACCAGCTCACGGCAGGAGGCACCTGATACAGCATCATTCCCCAGGAACCTCAGCCCACAGAGGCATCTGCTCTCCAGGCCTGCATTCTCTGAACAGACACGATGGGAGCCAGGAGGAAAGGAACTGTGGGCGCGGAGGAGGGACACTCATGGGCGCACACATGCCTGGAGGGCTACCTGTGGACGGCACTGCCCCCTCCCTGGGTGCCCGCGTGGCCTGGCTCGCCCCTCACTCCGGAACAGCACTGTTCCCAGCCTGTTCCCCCATCCGAGCTGGGAGCTCCTGGCAAGGCCGGCCACGGGTCCGACTCATCTCTGCGTGGGCAAGCCCCGCACCTCGATGGGAGCTGAATCACTTAACGTTATGAAGCATCTACAAGACTCATGGCAGAGAGGAGGCCACCTGGGCACGGCAGAAAGGGGCCCCATTCTCTTACCAGTGATTTCCTCCTCATGACTTCTGCCACTTGTAAACCCTTTTCAGAGACTAACAGAAGGCCTGCCTGCCTCCCCGAATGTCCTACGGGTTATGAGAAGTAGACGGACTCAAAATACGTCAGATGTGGAAAAACCGGGGGCTTGGGAGTCAAGGAAACGCAGTCTCCCTCCCAGAGCTGGGCAGCAGGCGGCAGCCATAAAGGATCTAAGGATCTGGGCTGGAGACAGTCTGCTGCCTCTCTTTGTTTTGGGGCACAAAGAACAGGGGCCAAAAGGGGAGGCAGACTAAAACCGCTCGAGGTGATTTGCTTGACTGCCTGAGAGCAAAGAGATGGGGCGGGAAACCACCCATGAACGATCTGAACTGGGCAGAGAGAGGATGGGAACTTGGAGAGAGAAGGAAACGGTCACAGGGACAGACAAAGAGATGGTTGGGACAGTGACACAGGGATGACATGGTGGCTGGGGGCAGGGAAGCGGGGTCAGAAGCCCTCGTGAGCACAGCTGAAATGACAGCCTTGGTTGCAGAGCCAGGATCCCAACTGGGGTCCCCCAGCAGGAAGCCAAGGGGCAGGATGTGCTGACTGTTCAATCCAGGAAGGAAATACAATGCCACCAGCTCTTGTCCAGACTGGCTGCCACCCACACCCCAATTCCTGCACCCCGGGAAGAAGGCAGGGTTCTGGAGCCCATCTCTGTGGGGCAGGAAAGGAGGGGAGAACCGAACACCCCCCCAGCAGAAGACGAGGCCAGGACTGCCGTGTGTCTACACGTTTTGTACATCTCGCTTTCATTCACACGTTTAGGGCAGGGCGGCGAGAAGGGGATGACCCCAACAGCCTCCCCTGAAACAGGCACTTGAATGGAGAGGCAGGGCAGGGCAGTGAGCCTGAGGCTGGGAGCAGGTCGGGGAGGAGGGAGGAGGGGAGGAAGAACCCCACCCCACCCTCCACCCTGGCCTTGGCCTCAGCATCCAGTAATGGAAATGGTCCCTGCCTCCGTCCCAGGGACCCTGAGAGATCAAAGGTCACTGAGATAAAGGGACTTCAGGTGCCCCAGAATGAGGGTCAGGAGTGACACTGCAACCAAAGCCACCGCGTCCGCCCTGACACCTCTCCTCACACAGAGAGGTGGACAGCGAGACGCTGTAAATGGGACAGCAGAACGTGGGCCTCCCCTCCCAGCTCCTCTGCTGGTGGCACAGACTGGCTGTGCCTTTCAAACTAAGCATGTGTCTGCCTGGGCAAAGCACGAAAGTACATTTTGCTTAAAGGAGCAGGACCATCTGATGCGTGCCGGCAGAATGAGGACAGAGGAGAACAATCTCACAGCTTCCTTCTCAAAATGTAGGCAGTGTGAGAGCAGCAAATGGAGAGAGACGAGAGTTCCAGAAGGCCCCCAGCCTCACCCCCACCAAAGTCAGAGGGTGCGGAAAGGACGCTCTCAGCTCACAGGGCTCAGAGCCGAGCCGAGCCCCAAAGCTCCCTCCACTGGGCTGACACAGACCCTTCCCACGGCCCAGAGTGTAAGTTAAAGCACCAGCTCCACCTGCCATCTCGAGAAGGCTCCTCAAGGCTAAGGAATAAGAATGGAGATGCCTCCGATAGCTCAGAGCCTGAGCTGAAGCAGCAGCAAAGTTCAAGTCCACCTCCGAGGGGACTCTGCCGCAGCAATGACCAGAGTGACAACAGCAAACCACTGCTACACGGTGTGCTTACTGCGAGGCGGACTCGGCCCCACTCTACCTGGGGACTGCTGTGCTTGACCTTCAGACAGCCCTGAGGGCGGTATTACTAAGATCCCCTCTTTACAAACAAAGAAGAAGACTCAGAGAGAAGCTAGTTAGAAGCAAGTAAGAGTGGAAGCAAGTATGTGACAGAGCCACCTGCCTGCCTCCCTCCACGGCCCCCCCAGAGGTGCTACAGCGGGGAGCTCACTCCTCCCCTGCCAGGAGGGAAGGGGAGGCCCTGGTGTCTGGGGTCGCGCAGCCCTGCTCCTGACCCACCGGGACCCTGGGCCCCTTGGCTTCAGCTCCCGGCCTTACTTACCTCTATCTGGTCAATGGTTTCCTGATATTCTTTCTCCCGGGTTTTGAACAGGGACTCAGTATCTTTAATCACCTTCTCCAAACTCTCTTCCGGCTGCTGGAGTGGAGAGGGAAGCGGGAGGGGAGGGACGGGATGGGACGGGCCACAGGGCAAGGTGGGGGAGAGAGAGAGTCACATTAAAGGAGGCCGGAGAGAGCAAGGATGAGGACACAGGACGAGGGAGAAGCATGTGACGGATGCTGGCCACAGAGGGAAGACAGCACGGAGTGGAGGGCTGGCGGGGAGGAGCCGGGAGCCCGGCGCCAGGCCGGAGAGGAGGAGCCGGGGGCCTGCAGCCGGGAGGGCAGTTACCTCTCCCGGGGCCTCTGTGGCGGCCAGGGCATAGCCTGAGAAATCCTCCCAAAGCAGCAGAGTCTCCTCGGTCTCCTCCCAAGTCAGGCTGTCACAGTCGTCCTCAAAATCATACTCCCTCCTAGAGACAGGGAGCCCGGGGGTCAAGGCGGGCGGCGAGGGGCTGCTGGGCCGCTGCCGCCTCGGGCGGCCCGAGGGGCCTGCGGGACTCACAGCTGGTTCAGCATGCGCTGCATCTCCTCGTTGATGCTGAGGGCCGCGCTCTCCTCCTCGTCCCCGTCGGGGTGGCGGGGCCCGTCACTCTCTGACAGGGAGGTGTCCTCCTCGATGGCTGCCTTGCGCTCCCGCTTCCGCCCCCCCATGGATGGGACCTTAATGGGAGACAAGTGCAGAGACTACAGAGACGAGGCCGGGTGCATGAGGAGAAGGGCGGTGGGCGCCGGCGGGTGGGCGGGCGGGCAGGGAAGCATGGACCAGCGGGAGGGGTGGGCGGGCGGACAGAGAGAAGACACGGTTACAAGACAGGTACAGAGACACCAGCGTCGCCGAGACAGGCAGACAAACACGGATGGGTACAGGGCTGCAGACTAGGAGGAAGACAGAGAAGAAACAGAGAAAACAGAGCAGTAAGATAAGGGAGAAACGGCTGGCTGTGGCCACAGGAAGATGTGCAGATGGCTCAGGGGGTTTCTTTTCTAAAAACAGTCTTTCTAGTGAATGACTGAACCGAGAGGGACGTTTCGGGCTGCAAGGAGGAGGGAGACACGATGTTGACAAGGCAGAACCTGAGTCACGTGTCCAGATCTGGAAGAGGGCGAAGGGAGAGAGAGAAATGAAGCAGAGAGAGAGAGAAAGAGAGAAGGAGGGGGGGAGCAGGAAGACCGAGGAGGGGGGTCTGCACTGAGAGCCCTGTGGGTCAGGAGGCCCGGGGAGCTAAGAAACAGGGGCAGGGCCATAGGAAGCTTGCGTGAGAGCAAAACTAACCAGCTTCTTCTGTGGAGGAAGCAAGAAAAGATGAAAGGAAGACAGGAGAGGAGGCGGACAGGAGAGAGAGGGGAGGGGAGAGACGGCATTAGAGACAGCTCTGAACTCCCCTCCAGAGGCTGCCCTCGCCCCCCAGCCTGGCCCAGGTGTGGACGGCGGGGGCAGGGCTGGGCCGAGGCAGCCCCACCCTCACCTGGAACATCCTGATCATGTCCTCGCAGTTGCGCTGCTGAGCCACATCACAGAGCTTGGCGGTGATGTCGATGCGGCGGCAGATGTCCATGTCCACCTTCATGGCCTTCTCCTGGATCTTCGTGTCCAGCTCCGACAGGTTCTGTGCAGGGAGTGAAGGGAACGGTGACGGGCGCCCAGCGACATCCCCTCACCCTCCCAGACACGTGTCTCTGGCTCCTCCAAGCAGACGGCAGCATGTTTCCTGGGTGTCCTCACCCCTAGCACTCTGCTCAGGCAACTGGCTCCCTAGCCAGGTGGGGGGCCCCTGGAGGATGTGGCCCCATGCCTGGGGCGTGCAGGGGGCTCCCTCCTAGAACTCCGGTTCCCAGAGAGAGACAGAGAGACTCCTGGGCATTAAGAGAGTGGAGGAAGCATGGCAATGGCAGGAACAGTAGGTGACACTGAGTAGGAGCCAGTGCTGCCCTGAGCTGCCACCTCCTTCAGAACTGTTCTGCCAAGTACACGTTTCACTACCCCATTCCGCAGACAAGCACACCGAGGCAGGGCTGCCAAGGACCCAGGGCCACACTGAGAGCAGGCTGCAGAGGCGGGATCTGGGTTCTCAACCACTGCTTAACAATGTCCAGTAACGGTGCAGGCCACGGGGACTTGCGTTCCTTCTCTTGAACGGGGGGGTGGGCAAGGGGGAAGAACCAGAAGCACAGCAAAGCGGGGTGAGGGGTGGTGGGCAGGCCCCAGCCAGAAAGGCCTGCTCAGCCTGGCTGCACACGGCCTCGGGGGCGAGCCTGGCCGGGGGAGGGGGGAGGGGGGCGAGGAGGCTGCACTCACGTTGCTCATCAGCCCCTTGAAGACCACCAGCTCAGCTTTCAGCTGCTCCACCTTCATGGCCAGCTCCTCCTGGCAGGCATCGGCCTCCTGGGCTTCCTGCAGTCAGGAGAAACCCAATGTGAGCGGCCCTGCAGGGCGGGCAGGGGCCAGGACAAGCAGGACCCGGGCGGAGGGCGGCCCTCACCTCCTGGAGCTCGTTCACACGCTCCTGCAGCTGCAGCCGCACCGTGTACTCCTCTTCCCACCTGCAGACACGGCCAAGGGCGAGCACATGGGCGGGGGTCCTCCCTCCTCTGCTCCCTGTCCCCCACCCATTCGGCTCAGGCCTTGGCCCTGGGTCTGGGGCCCCAGACAGGAGGAGCCAGACAGGAACGTGCAGCCGGCCAGCAGAAGCTGTCAGACGGCTCCAGGCCCCTGGCCAGTGCCGAGCTCACTAGCCGCCTTCCCAGAATCTCCGGCCTGGCACCAGGAACTACATTTAAGGGCAACTGTGCTGCTCTGGTCCCTTGCAGGGCCCATCCCACTCAGGCCCCGGCCCAACCAGCTGTCTGGTGGGCCTCATCCCCTCCTCCTGCCCACACCAGACCGCCAGGCCCGCCCCGCCCGGTCTCCCACCTTCAGTCGCACAGATCCGGGCTCCCGCCTCCTGCCTGCACCAGAACAGAGCTCGTCTAGCCCGCTGCCCTGCCTCTTGTGGGACATTAACCCTGCAAAAGCAGCTGCGGGACACATACCGCATCAACATAGTTGGTCAAGAGCCTGGTAGAAGACCTCACAGTCCATCCCCACAAGCTCCAGGAAGTGCCCACCCAGAGGCCCTCAGTGAGCAGCAGAGAGGGGTCAGGGCTGGCCTGATGCGCTCAAGCCTGGGATTACACTCAGACTCAGAGGGAGAGGGACACCGGAGTATGGGAAAGTGCCTCATTGACACGGTGGATGGGACAAGGCAGCATCCTGGGCTCCAAGATGCAGAGCCTAAGGCCACGAGGAGGCTAGAAGACACTCCTGGCCAAGCAGAGCCCTTTTCCCAGGGCTGGGAGTGAGTCAGAGCACCCTCCACCACATCACAGAGACAGAAGGGCAGTGGCGGAGACAATACCACTGCTTGGGACATCAGGACCCTACAAGGTTGGCTGGACTAGCAGGGCATCTCGGATCCCATTCTAGAGCCTAGCACTTCTCGCCCCATCCTGGAAAGGCTTCTTCCAGGCTGAGAGAGGAGGGGAACTGCACCAAGAGAGAAACTTCAGTATGAGCAAGACGGTTAGGAATCAGCACAGAGAGCTGCAGACCTAGGAGTCGGTCATCTCCTGCCCTCCCCTCCATCTCTGTTCCCAGGTGCCTCCGCTCTCTTCCTTGGGCTCTCCCTCCAGTCCCATCTCTCCTTGCTCTCCTGCTCCTCATTCACACCCGCACTGCAGCATTCCTAATAATAACTCCTCGACATCACTGCTGCTGGGCAGGGAGGAGGAAGCCAGCCTGGTCTCCATCCGCTGGCTCATCGCACGGCCCAGCTCCCGCCTTCCTGGCTCCCTGCCCGGCCTCCCCTGACTGCTGGTCCCCATGTCCTCCTCCCCTTCGCTCTGGCATTCCCATTCAGACAGACGGGGCCAGCAAGGGGCCCAGCTGCACCAGGTTATGTATTTTCTTAGATAAGACCTTTCTCTTTTCGGGGCCTTGGTTTCTCCACCTACAGCGTGACAGCACGGGATGTGGTACCCTGATGCTCCTGGGGTCCAAGCGTCCCTGGAGGAAGCAAGCAGGACTGACAAGAAGACAACAACCAATTGGACCAATTACACCAAGAAGGCTAGGGCAGTGAACTCAACTGTTTCAGGTAGAAACATAAGTAAGGAAGTTAGGTAAGGATTATTAAGATTAGTAAAATCCTACGGGGCAAAAGAAGAGGCCTGGAAACTAATCACTTGGAAGCTCACTAGAATTCAGTTTGTACTCTAGCCAGACTTCCCCACAGATAGGTTCATTTTGACCTCCATTCAAGTCTGGTCTCACTTACAAGGTTCTCTAAACAGGGGAGAATTGGGGCAATTTCCATGTATTCTACATTGAGCAAACACCTCTCTTCCAAATGAACAGCATTCCAGAGTGAGATGAAGAAGCAGGGGCCACTCCTATACTAGGAAAAACTGAGTCCAGGAAAGAGAGACCCACCCACGGTCACGTGAGGCAGGGGACCAGAACACAGAACCAGGAGGCCTCAGCTCCTTCTCAGTTTAGTGCTTAAAGTATGCCCATGTCTTCTGGGCTACAGATGGGAGATAGCGTTGCTACAAAGAGAACAGAACAAGGGCAGGGGATCTGGGGTGGAAGAATGAGTAACTGCCAGTGTCACATACCATCCAAGTCTGGCCATGGGGCCCTCTGCACAGCAGTGCACTGCAGAGCCATGAGCTCATCAGTCCCTGAGGAATAACTCTTTGCTGCCCTGGACAGCTGGACCAAGGACAAACACTCTTTCAGTTTAAAAAAAAAAAAAGGCCCCTAAGAACAGCAGTTGTTCCTGTGGTTATGGACATATTCCAGAACTGTCCCTGTTCCACTGCTGACTGTGTTAATTAACTCCCGCAGGGGTTAGGACTGGGTATCTGAAGGATGGTTTTAGGATAACTGAGACTCCCAAAGACACCTAAAACATGGACTACAGCTAAGGAAGCCAGGCAGCATGACAGAACTCAACCTCAGAAAGCCTGCTGACCTGTGATCTGCTAGATTCTAGCAGGTTACAGATTCCTGAAGGTCACCCCCAGGCCCAGCAGGCATTTCCCAGAAGATGCGGTCAGTCCTCACCAGACACAAATCTCTGCCCCGCTGGGCCGCAAGGGTAATTCCCAGGCCTGCCCAGAGTAGCTCAGTAAGAGGTTAAACCTGAAGGCCCCCAAACCAAAGCCTCCTTCTGACCTGTCATCTCCTCCCTCTTCAACTATGGCATCCTGGTCACAGTCTACAACGTTCTGGCTGTGCTCATGCTCCTGTCCCAGCGGCCTGGTTATCAGCCCTCTAAGGAATCCACTTGGGTGCAGCCAGCACTCCAGCATTGCGTCCCCTCCCTGGCCCCTTGTGCTACCCTGCGGGGTTCCCCCTGAAAGCCAGCTCTTCATCCTCAGCGTGACAGGGCCTGCCCCAGCTGCCTTACGTCACGGGTGTGCTCCTATTCCCAACTTTCTCCTACTCGGGTCCCTGCTGCCCTCTTCAAGAGTCCTCTGCCTTCCGCTCTGCACTTTCCCATCCCCCAGTTTTCACTAGCCCTACGCCCACTATCCATCCCTTCCTCTTTCCCTAAGGAATTCCCTTTACTTTTTCTTTCCCCTCCTTTTTTTTGACCAACTCCCAGAACTGCTGAGGTCCCCGGAGCCTTTTGGCTGGAACTAGAGTGGGCATGCGGCTTCTGTGGACACTACTTTGGGAAACCCTGGGCAGCGGCAGGATCCCCCAGTGCAAGGTGCAGCCTCCCCTTCCCGGCCCCTTCTCATTTCACTTAGACTCCCAACTTGAAGCTGCACCCTTTGCCTCTTACTTCTGATCAGTATGCGGAGCTTATATCATAAAATCACTCCGAGGCCTGGGACTGGCGGGAGTCAGCAGTAGCCCAGATGTGACCCCTCAGACCCATGTCCTGTTTCACACCTCACAAAATCTCCACAGTTTACACCATCATCCAAGCACTGCAGCATAGCTGAGACAGAAAGAAAAGCCAGAAGGAAAACATGGGTTCCCCACAGGATTTTGCTCCTACTCTTCCTGTCACAAGTCTGACTTCTGCATTCTCTGTAGATTCTAGCATCCGGCTATCGCCTTCAAGCTCCTCCTTACACAGCAGGAGCTCTACTCTTCTCTACTCCTCCCAGATTCTCGGGCCCAGCTGCTCTCCGCTCCTGGACGCACACCTAGCACCGGCCCGAGGGTGGCCTGACGCTGGGCCGGGTCCCCGCCTTCCCCATCCCTACCTCCGTTTGTACTCGTCCCGCTCGCGCTTCACTTTAGCCAGCACGTTGTAGAGCGCGCGGATCTCGGGGGTGATGGTGTCGATCTGGACGCCCACCCCGTCCGGGTGCACCCACGACAGGCCAGGCCCTTGCACCAGAGTGGGCTCCAGTCCCGGCCCGAGCCGGCGGTGAGAGAAGGACCAGATCGTGCCGGGCATGAAGCGGGCAGACGAGGAGTAGGCGGTGGAGGTGGAGGGCGCCGGCTGGCAGACGGCGGAGGG